GATTGGATTTTTTTTTCTCATCAGTTGAATCAACAATGAAGAGCAATAAAACGAAATAAATGGAGAATGTGTCGATGGGACACATCAATGATGCCCCTGCTTGCATATAATGTTATAAAGGAGCATAACTCAAGATTTGTAAAAGTGACACTACACAAATTCGAACTTAATCTGTGTTTTATGGTAATAAGCATTGTTTATAAGTTTCATAACATTTGGTTGAGGCAAACTAAAGTTAGAGAACGGAAACTAATTTGTAGGATTGATGGACATACAGACACACAAAGGTAATACTTAATGTCCCCTCCATCAGGCAAGGGCATAAAAACACAAATGAAAGATGCCATACCCAATTCACTTCTGTCAGCAAAATTAAGCAGAATAAACTGAAATTTAAACCTAAATAGTTAATTTTATCTATCATCTTCCTGTACATTCGCAGCCTATTCATAAGTGAAGATATTTTATCTGTTTTAACAATTTCCTAGAATAGTCATAATAATTTACACCACTGTCACCTGAGAAGACATCCAAACTACATCTTATATGGTTATTCTTTTTTTATCATTTACAATACAAGTACCTGATTCTGAGAAATAAACCAAAAAATGTATATATGATTTAGTACAAATGTATGAGAAGGCATCTAAACTAAATCATATATGACTTTGGTATATTACAATATTAGTATCTGACTATGAAAATTTGGAATAATCACACACCTTTTTATCAAAAATTGTGTAATGCTGTGAATAAGAACCTAATATTTAAGACATAAAGTTTTTTTCTTTTAAATAAATCAGTTTCACTATATATATCATTGATTTAATAAATCACAATAAATTCTGTACACTAAAAACACTTGAACATACTAAAATGTAAAAACAGATTTGTAAAAATCATCAAGTGACAAGTATTATGATGAATTTCTCTTGTATGCAACAAGTACAAGTATAAAAATATGGTTATGTCTCATATGCAAATGTTTATTGTATATAACTTATTGTTTATGTATTAGGTTCTCCATGTGAATAATATAACATTAAATCTTACACAAAGATAATACAAATTAAGGTATTTCTAATTCATTTCAATATATAAAAAAATCCCTTTCTTTCCAACCTCTGTTCAGAACCTACTTTACTCTCTAATATACTATAAATTCAGGAAATATTGCGATGTTTTTATTTTTGGGAAGATTGGGACAAAACATATTTCACTAAATTAAAATCTCACATTTTAAATTTTGATACATGTAGCATTATTGTATGCAGCATTTCCTGATGTCACAATATAAATAAATATCCCAATCTCATTAAAATCAGCTGTTGTTTTCCCTAGAGAGAGCGTAGCGTATCACAACATCAGATTTTAATCAGATTGTAAATATCTCATTTGTGTCCATTGTTCACAATCACAATAATAAATGGACGAAATAATATCTGAATTTACAGTAATTGTATAATCATATCTCATCTAGAAAATACTTGAAATATTTGTCACTGGTCATCCAACATATTAAAAACCAATCAATTATGTTAAGAGTAAAACTTTATCAAAATCTAATTAAATTAAAATATAATTAATCATGTATTCCTATACACTGATGAAAAGTTATGGTTCTAAATCCTTGTAGAAACTTATCATGATTATGTTTTGTCATTGCACAAGGTCATGCTATTCTCAGAATGTTTGAAGTCCTTACACTTAATCTATTGGATGTTTACTAATTGATATTTTGGTTTGAACTAGCTTTCAGTAACTGTGAATACTCAAATCATTTTTTTGTGTCTTTTTTCTTCTTGTTAGTTGTTGTTTTTTTTTTCATTGCTACTAGTATGATGAGTTAAGCCCCTTTGAATTGATTATTTTAGTTTATTTCTATTTTGGTCTGTTTAATACACAAATGTCCCAGGTATGAAGGAGGGTTTAGTGCTAAAAAAATGTCTTATCATGCCACATTCTTTATGTGCATGTCCTAAGTCAGGAGCCTGTAATATATTGGGTCATTGGTTGTTGCTGGTTCAAGGGATGTCTGCTATACTTGATTTTTGATTATTATTACTTGTACGATGAGTCAAGCCCCTTTGAATTGATTATTTAAGTTTATTTCTATTTTGGTCTGTTACACCAATGTCCCAGGTATGAAGGAGGGTTGTGTGCTTAAAACATGTCTTACCATGCCACATTCTTTATGTGCATGTCCTAAGTCAGGAGCCTGTAATCTATTGGGTCATTGGTTGTTGCTGGTGCAAGGGCTGTCTGCTATATTTGTATTTTTTTGTTTATTGTTACTAGTATGATGAGTCAAGCCCCTTAGAATTGATTATTTTAGTTTATTTCTATTTTGGTCTGTTACACCAATGTCCCAGGCATGAAGGAGGGTTGAGTGCTAAAAACATGTCTTACCATGCCACATTATTTATGTGCATGTCCTAAGTCATGAGCCTGTAATCTATTGGTTCATTGGTTTTTCTGGTTCAAAGACTGTCTGCTATATTTGTTTTTTAGTTTATTATTGTTTAAGCATAAATCAGGCTGTTGGTTTTCTCATTTCATATTTTGTCATTCTAAGGTCTTTAATAGCTTACTATTCAGTATGGGTTTTGGTTATTGTTGAAGGCTTTATAATGTTCCATAGATACTTACATCCACATCCTTTACTGCTTTAGTCTCTGGTGGATAGTTGTCTCATTGTCAATCATACCACATCTTCTGATTTATATATTTATATCAGTTTTCTGATGTTTACTGTAAGTCTACTGTAACTGTTTATAAATAAATCTGTGACCATCAACAGTGTTTTACTAAGTTATGGTCATAAATTTGCCTACAGGGAAAGTGCATTCCATGATTAACTTGCCCATTGAAGATAAAATTTGACCATATGATATTCTTTTCTAGTATGTTCAAAACCTTTTGAACAATGAGTGATAAACATGATTTGCAATTGTTTCAATACTTTATAAGAGTAGTTTTGAAAGTCCTTCAATAATTTATATATATTTCATCTGGATTTCCCCCTGCCAATTTCAACTTTAGTGGGCAAATGAGCAAGCACTTACTTCAAACACTGATCAATAATAGGTTTTTAAACATGATTTATCATTTATAGAGTGAGGGGGACTTCATATTCAAGTTACAGAGTGGTATATCAATGATGAGGAAACAAGCTTTTTGGAAATTAAGAAAAATGGGATGTGAATTGTTTTAAGAAAGAAAAGGGGTAAAAAAAGATGAGAGGAAAAGGGAAACTTTGTATGAAATTGTGAGAAATGGGAAAAGAGTAGGATTATTTATTTGGGAAGCATATACCATGTTATTTACTCTCAGTCATAGCAAACACTTAAATCTTCTTGCAACTATTTAAAAGTCATGCATTAAATTAATCAAAATCATGACAAAAGATGATCTTTAGTCAGGTTTGCAAAATGAACCAACAGACGTCAGAAAAAAGTCATCCTATATATAGTATTGACCTAGAGCAGTATTAACAAGTGAGCCAAATAAACTTATATATCATAAGTAAACAGTGCTTATCTTTATCTTGTTCAAAACTTCCCATATGATTTACATAAATATTTATCCAAAAATATTTCAAACTCAGATAAATTTGAAATTTTTAAGATTTTTTTTTAATTATATAGATTTTGTTTGTCATTTCATCTTTATCAAAAAGTAAAAGGAAATATTCCCCATTTCCATTCTCAATTTTATTGGGAACTGTGTTTATAAAAATATACTTATAAAAATTCAGTCATCAAACATCACCAACACTGGTGTTTGGTGAAATCCTGTGTAAACAAAAAGCTGTTCATCTATATCATGTTTATCTTTTATTCATCTCTAAAAATTCCCTATCAGCAAATTCTAGTGAACACTTAATAAGTTTCAGAAGACTCTGTTCAAGTTTTTGACCTGATTGTAGACATTGGGGAAAATCCCTACATTTTTTAATAAGATAGGTAAATGACAATACTGTCTTAATTCTAATTTTCATTATTTTAATCTTCTGATTTTGGCATAGACTGCATACATGGACTATCATTTAAAAGTACTAATGATTAAAACATGTTAAACAGTGACACATGTACAAAATCTGTACTGGCATCTCTTTTACAATTTAAATCAATAAAAAGAAAAAGCTACTCATTATGTAAGAACCTCTATAAGAAACAAATGCAGTAAAAAATATATATTGCATAAAAACAAATGCACTAGTAATCCCTAAACTCATTATACTGATGTTTACTTATTACTTTTGAAGAAAATTTAAGAAAGCAAACATTTTTTCAAAAATTATCAGTCTTAGATTATTAATTTTAATCATATATGTATATTGTGTAGTTCTATACTGAATCATTAAATACAGAAAAACTTGCAAAAATAACTTTATTAAAACAAGATTTGTGATTTGCATTTGAAGGATTTGTTAATTATTATCATTAGATTACTGCCTCTAGACAGGTGGGTATAAATGACTTTTTCAATCTATTTTTTTCTTGCATTGTAACATATTTATTTTTAACTGTTTAAGGATTGAAACAAGCAGACTTCTTTTTAATTTAAAAACAGAAGTTATCACTGTTACATGTATTTATTTATAATACTGGTAATATTAAATAAACAACATTCAGTAAAGAAACTTTAAAGGGTCACATTTCGGCCAATTCTTATTAACTACCATTTAATACATTAAACATTAGATAAAAGACAAACAATACAATGTGTAATTCTGTCAACATTGTTTTAAGAATGATAGCAAAAAATAGATAACACTATGCAGTGATTTTTTTTAGTATGAATGATAAAGGTTTGACACTTTAAATATATGCATAATAATGTGATTGCCAAAGCAAAAATGGACATCTGTAAAAAAAAATTATCTACTTAGTATCTACTATGAATGTTACTGTACAAAAGTTGAAAACTACAACTTTGTATTTAACTTAATTGTGTTTATTAGAAGAAAAAAAAATAATAAAAAAAAATCAACATACCCATTTGTGGTCAAGACATCCTTCATGAAATCTATATTCCTTCATTTTGCAATTTTATCATGCTAATAACAGTGGATATTATATAGTTAAAGTTATTAGACTTAGTATTTTATATTTAACTAATCGTCAGTCTGAGATATGAGAAACACTGAACCCGATTGACAGGTTTATCGCTTACAATGAGGAAGTTCTTTATTTAATTCATATATGTACCTGTGTTGGATTTGTGTATTGCATTTACCTAAACAGTTTAATAACTACCTATTGACCCTGTCACGCTTCACTTCATGGCAATCTGAAATTTACGCGGGAATCAATTCGAAGTATATAAAGAGTCTTGTGCCCCGATCTAATTTTATACAAATTGTGCTTGAAAAGTGAAAACATTTTATATGTTAATAAACAAAAATTTTAAATTAATATACACTGAATTTTTAATCTTTGAAATATACCATTTTCTCTTTTTTCCGTTCTTTAAACAATAAAATAGTTAATAGTTTTCCGGAAAATACCCTCTCCTTTCCGCAATCGAGAAACATAAACTTAATGGAGAACACGCATGCTAAATTTGGAATCAAAACAGTTTCTCCTTAATTTCTACATTTTTGCAGAGAATATAGTATGTGAATATGTTATCTTTTTAAATATGATTTCCTTCTCAATACAATATATATGCATTTGTAAAATGATATATGTAAGCTATTCTTTTAGGCACAAATTCTTGCACGATTTGTCGGTTGCCTACTATCTGACTATATAAATGTCATTAATTGGTACAATAGTACCTGTCCGCCAGTTCACAGATGACATACACAGCGACAACAATATCGCTTGCTTGGTGAAGGTTGATATTTAAAGGTGCTGTCATATTTACAAAAGAAAATGATAACATATCATTTTCCAACTTAGCATGGAAAATGAAGGGAAGTTAAAAAAATATAAATCATGGATACTTTCGTTTTCTTTGTTTACAAACTAGAGTACACATCAGTTGTAGTTGGAAAATTACCAGTGCTTAAAAAAGATTGATTAAAATAATCTAACAGCATCAGTTATTTATTTTTTGGGTTATTATGGCTTGATAATATGGTAATTCTATAAATTGTAAAGTTTCCAAAAGTTTTTAAAGCAGAAAATTTCAAGTGTAATATATCACTTTGCTCTTGTTATTCTACAACAAATATCGTTATTAAAAAGGTTCTGTTTTGAGCTAATATATTATAGCTTGATCTGGCTAAAATAGCCTAATTGGGCTACACAAAATTATCTCCCTTTGCATTATTTGTAGTAAAATTTCAGATTCTCACTTAGTACATTGTATTTGAAGTGCTACATATATCTAATATTTTGTTCTTGTTGTGTTAAAATATATCGATACTAAATAATAATTTTAATTGCTTCAAATTTTGAAATTGCCAAATTAGAACTGTTATTGAAACTTAATTTGGAAGAAACTTTTTTTTTTATGATTAACTGAATAAGGTTCAAGCAAAACTTTGAAAATATTTTGTCTTCATCATTTTTCGGTATTTTACTGATGATTGAACTTGTGCAGGGCCTAATCTAGGATTTTGGACTTCTCCTTCCATGAGAGAGTAGGGAGAAATGAGATTCCATTACCGTTTCGATTACATAGTGTATTCGTGCATATCACTAATTTATAAGCAATAAAAAATATACTTGCATTTTTTTCATATATTATTATACATAATGTATATATTGAAAATCTTAATAAAAAGGGTTAGACAATATAGTTGTTATTTATTTATTGATACCATTTGTACTGTGAACTTGAATTTAAGTTTAAATAAAATTTGTTGCTTGGGACATGTCCCAGGACATGTAGCCTAGTAATATTTATATGATGCATTAAATTCATGTGCATCTGCCTCAATTTATTTTTAAAAGTCCAGAAAAATATAACTCCCAGTTTACCTAATGAATTTCACATGACTGGGCAATTTAATTTATATCACCACTTGTCATTATTTTTGTAAAACATTATTGAATATCCAGGACATCATGTCAGTTGTAAATTGAGATTATCGTGAACGATTGTAAACCTATAAATGAAGATATTTGTCAATCGCATATTTATTAACCGATAAAGAGCTAATTTCTATCATTTTGTTTTATAAAAGATATCTTCCTTATCTACGAAATGGTCGTGAAAAAAAATCCACTGCTGATCACAAGCTGGTCATGTGTCGTATGTTTGCAACCACATCATCCATCAGCTGTCTACCTTTTATATTTCAATTTTTATTCAATGAATATAAAAAATCTATCGTTAATTTCCATCCTTAACCTACCGAATAGTAGTACAACTGATGGACTTGCAAGAAATAAAAATAAAAACAAATCAGCTGAGTGATTACGCAAAATCCTCAGATGAAAATCATCGTAAAATGATAACTTAAACAGACGCTCAGTTTCCCGTTTGAATACATGTAGTTTTGATTGTAAAATAGGAGGATGTTTAAAGTTGCCATTGTATTTATAAAATTTGAATGTCGACAGTATTAGTCCTGGGTCTTTTCGAAAAGTTTGATTTTCCTTGTCGGTCACCATTTTTATTTACCTGTGTGACTTGTAAATCACAAGTTGTCTCCCTTATACAGATTTTGATAGCGATTTGACTTCGATTAGAGATCAATAATTTCGTGAAATCAACATGGAATGTTATGAAACTTGGACTTAAGCTCCTTCAAGATCAAGATATAGCTCCTAAAAAAAAGTTTAATTTTTAAAAATTTTTATGCCCCACCTAGGGGCATTATGATTTTTGGTCTGTGCGTCCATTTGTCTGTCCGTTCGTCCGTCCGTCTGTCCCGCTTCAGGTTAAAGTTTTTTGGTCAAGGTAGTTTTTGATGAAGTTGAAGTCTAATCAACTTGAAACTTAGTACACATGTTCCCTATGATATGATCTTTCTTATTTTATGCCAAAGTAGAGTTTTGACCCCAATTTCACGGTCCACTGAACATAGAAAATGATAGTGTGAGTGGGGCATCCATGTACTATGGACACATTCTTGTTTGGACATAATTTTACTGATAAATAGATATAGTTTTTGGCAGTCAACAATACACTTTTACACTTACAGCAGCAATCACAGGCAACACAGTTCCGTGGAACCCTTTACAGATTTTATTGTGTTCTTGGGTTTCTTTTATTGTGTATCTTTAAGTAATACTTGGAATAACATTTTTACCATCAAAACCAAGATAAATTCAATTTCAAATACAGGTATATAGAAAAGACATATTTATTAATTACAATTTCATCAGTCTTGTCAATAGCTAAGCTAAATGAATTGCATACATAATAATTGATCCACTTTATTTATAGAAAATACACTATGGGTACAGTTCCAGAAAACATCAAGAGAAACGTCAGAGCTGTACTTCTGTCAAAAGTTGGAGGAATTCTAGTCAGTGATTTTTCAAGAGACTACAAGAACTTGCTTAAAGAGCAACTGAATTGGAGACAAATTGGATTTGATAACATGAATGATCTGATTAAAGCCATGCCAGAAGTTGTGAGGTAAAACACATTTTTCCTACTCTTACCTGGTTTAAAACTTTCCTAGCTGGTTGTGTTTCTGTAATAATGTGTGGCATGTGTTCTTCAAAAGTACAAAATCAAATATGTCGTCAAATTTCTTTGTCATGTCCTGTTTTTATACGACCGCAAAAAATTTTGCAGTTGTATATTGGTATCACATCGTCGTCTTCCGAAGACATTTTGTTTCCGGACAATAACTTTAATATAGGAAAATAGAAGTCTATGAAATTTAAACACAAGGTTTATAACCACAAAAGGAAGGTTGGGATTGATTTTGGGGGTTATGGTCCTAACAGTTTAGGAATTAGGGGCCAAAAAGGGGCCCAAATAAGCATTTTTCTAGTTTCCTGACAATAACTTGTGGAAAGGTGTATGGCTCTCTCTGAAATTAGACCACAAGTTTCCATACCACAAAGGGATGGTTAGTATTGGCTTTGGGGGTTATGGCAGGGGTTCAAATTTACTTTAGCCAATGGAAGGTCCCGGACCTTTGACCAAAAACACGTAAAGGTACTCTTTTATTCTTAGAAGGTCAGTTTTGTATTTTCTCAAAACTTATGTAAACTGCAGCAGGTGTCACTAGTTGGACAGGAACTAATTGCCTTTCTAGATCCCATATGATCACCCTACAGTTTAATTATAGTTGGGGTAGGTGTGGCTAAGTGTTTAGATTTTTGTGTAATTTATGTGAAATTTAGGTGCTGTAAGAAAGTTTTGCCAGTCCTTTCACCTATTTGCCAGATCTACTTTTTAATAAAAATAAAAAGAATTTTCCAGATTTAAGATATACCCCCAAAACCTTGAGGTTTATAGGGTGGTTTAAAATGACGGAGACCACATTCAACTTAAATTTACAAATAATTCTGCAACATCAAGTAAATAAATGACAATGTTATACTGCACTTGCCAATAAGACAACTATCTTAAGCATCTAGAACAATTAGACCAAAAACAAAGAAAGTGTCAAGCTGCATTGACGTAAAAAACGGATATGTGTATTCACTCATCAACTAAAATGAAAAAAAATAATATATAAACTGTTTTCGTTTAATTCAATTTACATAAATCTGGGTTAAGTTGTCCCTTATCAGAACTTTTGGTTTCCGATGCTTTCAAACTACATATGTCATAATTGATTTGGCCTTTCACTTTTTCCAACTGTATTCGTTTTTGACGGAACCCCGTGTTTATCGCTCTAGCAATGTTCTCGTTATGGTACGCAAACACGCCAGTGCGTTCAATGGCCGCTTCCTAAAATCACTAGCTGAGTCTTGTTATCATCATAACTTTCCCTCAGCTATCAAAAAGAAGCCGAAAACATGCTTCTATTCAATATTTTTACCGGACATTTACTTTCGTTTAATTCATTGTATGTTATGATAAATCCCGAGCAATTCGAAAAAATATGACAGCATGTCACACGCTAATTGGATAAACGGCGAGAAGATCGAATTGTTTTCATAAACACGTGTACCTTTTGAGCAACGGAAAATTCCAACAGGGACCCATTACAGCTACTTGATGCAGGGCTCTATTTTTAGAACGAAAGGACATTTCCAATTATAAATATTATAAAAATAGATTTACGCGACGACTGTAATCAAGTAAGGGTAAATAACGCAAACGATAGCAAATAAAAGCGTTAAGAACCCATGTTTTTGGCATATAATTGGGTTTTCCTTTGAATTAATTGGGTTATTGAACCCTGCAATGGGCAATTGCATTGGGTTTTTATACGCCCATTTACGGGACGTATTATGGTATACCTCTGTCCGTCCGTCCGTCTGTCCATCCGTCTGTCCGTCGTCAACATGTCGGACATTAACTCAAAAATGCTTTAACCAATTTGCATAAAACTTTGGTGAATTGTTTATATCTATTGACGTGAGCTCCCTTTCGTTTTTTATAAAATTTAGATTTTAGGTTTCCGAGTTACAGGGTTTTATTCATAAAAAAAGGGGGGATTTTCCAGTTTTCTGACAAAAACTCAAAAATGCTTTCAGCAATTCTTATGAAACTTTGGTGAATTGTTTGTATGTATTGATGTAAGCTCCCTTTAGAATTTTATAAATTTTTTCATTTTACATTTCTGAGTTATGGGGTTTTATTCATTAAAAAAAGGGGTGATTTTCCAGTTTTCGGACAATAACTCAAAAATGCTGTCACCAATTCTCATGAAACTTTGGTGAATTGTTTATATCTATTGATGTAAGCATCTTTTTATTTTCATAAATTTCTAATATGACATTGAGAATTAATTGAACTTTATTTGTTTATAGTCTGACAACAGATTTACTAAGTATTGCACAATAGCAAGAAATCTTTAATTGAATATAAATTTAATTCATATAACCAATTTCAAGTTCATTGACTACATTTATTCAGAAACCTATAATATGTCAAATATTTAATTACAATCCAAATTTAGACCTGAATATTGTGTCCATTTTTGCCCCAACTGTTCAGGGTTGGACCTCTGTGGGCGTATCTAGCTGTGCTCAGCGAAGCAGTTTATTAATTATTTTTATTGCGTGATCACGCAAATATGCAGCTTATCTGGAGCTCTGAAATGCTTACCATTCAAAAGCACTCTTCATATCTAACTACATAAACCTAATTTTTTTCTGAATTTCTTAAATGAATTTAGTCAGAAAAGGGCTTCCCATTTCCCCCAACACTTGGTTGCAATTGTTGCTTAAGAACACACGGCCCTAACTTTGTGTCAGATAACAGCTCTGCTCAACTTCGTTTTCAAACTTAATTGGGGTCAGTTTCTTTTAACCACTTTTTTGGCAAGATATATAGATGCTTGGTGGTAATTTTTCATCATGATTTTTAAGGGGTCAAGTTTTAAGGTTTTTTTTGTCCAACGAATCAGGGCACTTTCCCTTTCGCTGTGTGTAGGGTAAAAAAAGTTCTTGTTTTTCCCTGTCATATTTTTGGTCTTTAGTCAGATCCTGTCTTTCGGGCTGCGTTAAGTCGTTTCATCGATCACCCCCACTGTATCCCCTGTTTCATCATGTTTTCTTTTGGAAGAGGTCACCCCAAAACCAAACAGACCCATACTGTTTACTAGTTATCTTATGTTTTAAAATCATATTCATTAGTTTCCCCGTAGTATTGTACAACAACCATTCATTTGACTACACATCAAATCAATTGTGAAGAATTTAAGCAAACACACAAGTTTCCTTTCAGTAAAGCTGCATATTTTAAGGTTATTTTTATATCAGATTTTTATATTTTTTGTTCAAAATGCTTTTGTAACATTTTTAATCTGCAAAAATATGAAAGTCCGTCGAGTGTAACTAACTACTGGCAAGAAGGTCCGAATCCGTAAATGGAAAGTCACGGACCTCTGACCACCGCTAATTTGAACCCCTGGTTATGGCTCAAACCATTTAGGAATAAGGGGCAAAAAAGGGGGATTAACAACGGTTTCCTGGTTAATGGACAATTACTTAAAAGTACAATGTTATGTTTGGATTACCTCCCTTACACTGCTTTTAAATTATGTATAAAGTAATGTTGTATTGTCTTGAGGTGATTAGCTGTCAATTTATTTTTAGAAGTTACTATTAAAAATGCTGATTAAGGAATATTAGTTTTAGCCATGATTATGTATGTCATTTTCTATATTAAGACTTTTATGATGTATTTAAGGTAGCACAATACAAAGATTTGATACCTCCAACTCCCCAGTTTTAAAATGCTGTAACTTTCTTTATAATGCTTGAAAATTTATAAAAGTGGTATTTATGGATAGCTAACAGATTACTCTTTCAAATTAATGCAATGTTAGTATTATACAACAATTATGTAATTAATTATAATTTTAACTGTGTCTATAAACTTTTACAAGAAATTTCGACTTTCAATTGAAATTAGCTTCTTCATGGATACCCCGAGGGGGTTTATTTTATAATATGTTGTTCCTAGAGCCATTATCTACAAAAGATAGTCTCAGATTTTGGATAGAATGTATAGATCAAATTTTACACCTAATCAAATAATCTCTACTTTTATGTGGTAAGGATGTGGGGTGGGGACAATTTTTTCTCATTTCAGATTTCAGAAATTAAAAAGCACAAAAAAGGGGGGGGGGGGGGTCAATTTGCAACAGCATAATGTATTGCACAAAAGCAAAAAATTGAATATAAATTCAAATCATATAACCAATTTTAAGTTCTTTGACTACATTTATTCTGTGTCAGAAACCTATTATGTGTCAAATATTTAATTGCAATCCAAATTCAGACCTGTATCAAGCGCGAATATTGTGTCCATTTTTGCCCCAACTGTTCAGAGTTGGACCTCTGCGGTCGTATCCAGCTGCTCTCGGCGAAGCAATTTATTGCTCTTGTGAAGGCTTGAAAAAGGTTAACCTTGTATGGTACTACTGTAAGTCTTTGCAGTAAGGCTACAATATTTTTGCTAATCTCCAGAAAATTAAAAGTTTGCCATGATGAAATTTAATCTAAAAAGCATTAAAGAAAGGCGTGCTGTCTCTGTATCCCTTGAGGCAAGCCTCATGTTTTTAAGATTTTAAAAATCAACTATCATATGAAGAAGTATTATATGTCACTATCTCTTTGGTAGAATCTTTATATTTACCATGTTTACAACTCATTCTAAAAGTTGAGGAAATTATATGGTTAATTGATTGTTAAAAAATGCTTTTGTATTGCGATAATTACCGTATTTACCGATAGGCATGCTTAGTCCAGTCTTTTACTTCAAAATTAAAACGACCAGGTTGGGGTGCAGAATGAACTGGATTTCATGATTTTTGTTTACATTCTGCAACGTTTAATTCTATTAATACAGAATTTCTGCACACCCTAACTGTATTTGTTTGTGATTTACACGCCCTTTCCCTATTTTCAGTAAATGACAAGCACAACTTTTCCAGTTGATATTTTGTTGTGATTTTGGTTTATTTTAACAAAAGTGACATGTTCTAGAATCGTTTACAAAAATTTTCAGCTTCTACTTGATGGCAGAAAACAGATTTTATCATGAAAATACTGTAAATGATGACACACGACTTGAACATGTTGAAATTAACAGGGTTTCAGTTGATTTTTTCAACAAGTGACAAAAATTGTTTTCCTGAATTCCTGTGAGGTGTTCGGATTATGTATCAATAGAGACTGCAGAATTTGAATTTGATCAATTTAAAGTAGTATATTGAATATGAATCGTAAATAAAGGGGAAAGGGAGGAGGAGGGTTAACAACTCCAGAAAGAGGGTTGCTTAGGATCAAAGGTTTGAAGAATCTGGGTTGAAAACTATAGGAGTTCATTACGTAAAGTTTGTACTTTCTTTTGGAGTTCACAAGAAAAATAAGAAAAAAAACCTCAAACAATTCCATGATAGCCATTGCACAAGGTCTATATGTGTGCAATGTTTCTGTGCAAATTCAAGGATATGGGTTGAAAACTATAGAATGAGTTGGTTAAACCAACTCCTCCTACAGTTTCAACCAATTCACAAAATTGGTAACCTCTTGTAAATTTTGCTGAAACACAACTTTCCCAAAGTCATGAAAAATGGGGGAAATCTGCAAACAAATCCATAATAGCAAGCGCACAATTTCAGTAAGTGAGCAATATTTCTGTGAGGTTTCAAGTAAGTTGGTTTAGATCTGTAGGAATTGATTACAAAAAAGTAGTACCCATTTTTCCCCATGCTATATTTTATAAGGCAATTTGCACTTGATGCAACCTGTCCAAAAATAGCCGTTAGTATGTCATGTACATGTATGTATGAATTCGGAAATTTAGTGTGAATTATTTCTTTTTTTGCCATAAATCATAAATTTGCTAATATTGCCATAGGCACAATACTTTTTTCAACCTGAATGCAAAAGAGGAAATCAAACTGGCTTCTATGTCATTTGATTTCTGTCGGAGAGTTGTCTCATTGGCAATCATACCACATCTTCTTATTTTTATATTGTTCTTAATAAATTATATTTCAGGTTAGAATTCAGTGACAAAGATATGGCCTACAAGATGTTTGGAAAAGTAGATCCAAATTCTTCCTATACACCACTTGCTGCCAAGTTAGCTGCTGGTAAAAGAACAATTTGATAAGTTTTAGAAATAAATTGATTGTGAAAAGGTTCACAATTTGAGGTTTTTCATTTGACATATTACATTTACAGTTAAAGAGCAATTTTTAAGTTAATTAAAGTATCTGTATTTAGTATTTAATATGTTTCATTGGTAACATGATTCCCACAGCATAGCCATTTATTCAATGTGAATAAAATATTGATACATGGAAAAGGCAACCACCACTTCTCATTTGACCTCATATGGCTGGGAATTGTGTAAAAAAACAGGAGAATTCACACAGTAGGTAATTCTTGTGAGGTACATAGTTTTACTGTTTTCTACTCAGCCAAAAAATAGTGACTATACAGTAAGACTTGACATAGCACAAACAATTTGTGATTCTTTAAAACCTGATATTAAAGGGCCATTAGCTACAATATAAAAAAAAAAAAGGATTTTTTTTTGTCCCTGCGTAACGCGTTGCGGGGGACATGGAAATACCGGGAGTCCGTGCGTCTGTGTTGTTAGCGCTCTCACAGGTACAATTCTTGCCAGATTTTTATAAAACTTATACTTTAGGCTAATATCAGCAATATCTCAGACAAGTTTTAAAATGGTGGACGATCGACTTTTTTTAAAAGAGTTATGCCCCTTAGAAATATTAAATTTATGGAAAATTGCCTCGTTAGCGTTCTCATGGGTACAATTATTGCCAGATTTTTATAAAACTTATACTATAGGTTAATATCAGCTATATCTTGGAAAAGTTCTAAAATGGTGGACGATCGACTTTTTTTAAAAGATTTTTGTCCCTTGGAAATATTAAATTTATGGAAAATGGCCTCGTTAGCACTCTCATGGGTACAACTCTTGCCAGATTTTTATAAAACTTATACTATAGGTTAATATCAGTAATATCTCGAACAAGTTCTATAATGGTGGACGATTAAAAGAGTTATGCCTCTTGGAAATATTAAATAAGTGCAACAAGGGGGACATTGGAACTCTGTTCTTTTATTTTTGTTCATTCATCAATTGAATAGTGATATAATAATTCGCTTTTAACAGCCAGTTTGGTTCAGTTTTGTCAAAAGAAGCAAAGAAACATTGCTAATGAATTATTCACTTGCAAGTGAATAATTCGACCTCATTAAATCTGTATTCATGTGAACTTCAATTGAACTCTTAGCTGGAGATGGGTTATGCTTGAACTAGGCGTGTTCAGCTATTGAAAAGAAAAGATTGCCAACGTAACATTGGAAGTGAAACAAGGGTAAAGCATTTGAGTTGACTGATTCGATCTTTAAAAACTCATTGTTATACAGTTAAAAACGATTATTACAGAGTTCTCGAAATCTTTTTTTGTCTGGTGGTCCTTGAAGAAAATATGCAGGTCCTCATTAACATTTCTATTGCAATTTACCAAAATTGTGTTGGTCTTTCCCAAAAATGTGGTGGTCAAATCCCTAGGACCACCACTTATCGAGAACTCTGATATTATTATTATATTTTGTATACCTTTAATATGAAATCAAACAGACCTAGAAAAATTCAATTGCAAGAGTTCTCTATCTATTTAGATCTATGTTTATGTTTATATTGGGTTATATGACTGTCGGCAGTCTTCGGAGGTCAACTCGATGGTTAATTAGATGGCGTCTAGACTAAAATACACATGAAATGCTGATACATATTATCGAGTTAGTGCGTCGTAAATTGTTCATTTTAGACTTTGTATTATCCCTTTGTATTATTTGGATATACCTTTTAGTATGTTATAAATTGAATATGAGAATTTGAGTCAATGCCCCTTTAAACAATATTCCTAATGATATCTTTGATATATTAATTGTCAATTTACATACTGTAAACCAACTAATTTTTGCAACTTTCAAGAGTAGAAAAATAATGCGAATATAAAATCATCGCGACTATGTAATCTTTCCTTATTCAACTACATCAAGAAAATTTGAAAATCGTGCAATAGGCTTGAAAGGGCGAATTTCGAAATAAAGAATCCGCGAAAATAAGTTGGTTTACAGTATTGATTAATCATTTAAAAAGGTATGAATTCTCTTATTGGAAAAGCTATGTGTCAACATGTAATTTATTATGCGGTTTCTTCGTCAATAAAAAATTGGCCGCAACAATATAGCAAAGAGAGCTGAAAGTGATTTAAAACACTATCAATCAATCAATATTGTGCTTGTAATTACAATATGCAAATAAATCTCATGTTTATATGTAAACATTCATGGTAGGAATGAAAAATGGATACCACTTATATATGTATCATGATGTATCAAAATGCACATAGAAAATAAATATTTTTTGTTAGTATAGGTATTTTTTATTGCAGAAAGTTCCACTGAAGGAAAGGCAGATAGGAGGAGAAATAATTTTGGTAACACGAATAACAACAGTTTTGGCAACATGAACAGTAGTAATGCCAATGGCGATGATAAATATGGTCACTTTCAACCTAATATGAGAGGACATTATACACTGTGCTATCCTAAGTTCAAAGAAAATGATGATGTCACGAAAGAGGTAGGATTTTCTTTGGACTTTTATTGGAAACAATGTTTGGGAGGGTTGCACACACATTATATTTTTTCTGTGGATAATACATTGGAAGCCAAATAATTCTGTTACAAATAGAAACACAAATGTGCGTGATGGGGGTATAAAAGAAAGTGTTGTCCAATGTCCAACCCCACCTACATTATTTCCTGGACTATCCGAGATGTTTCAAACAATCATATTGTAAAAGGGGACATAAAAAAGCTATGGCATGTTTATCTTTTTTGTTTTTATTTATTTCTGTCTTTTTAGAACCTAGAAGAAAAGTTTGGTGTTTATCCAGGATTATTTGAAGTGCATATGATTCCCAGGTAAAATAGGATAGTCATTTCAATGAATATGTTTTAAAATTTCAAAGGCTTAACATGTTTATAGAAAGTTGAAAACAAAATTTTGTAGCCTTAAGCTCCTTTTATGTATTTCATCCTAAGCTTTTTTTGAAGCATGGTATTGTTATATCTTTGTCTTTCAAAATACACATCATGGTTTATGAGCATTCTTGCTATCACTTTGTAAATTGTCATTTGTTATGCTTCATCATAACGTGTTTTTAAAATCATTCCCTACTGAACAGGGAGGCAAATAAGGTTAAATTACGGTTGATCTACTACTGAATAAATTATATTGATGCACCTCTTTTGGAATCTCCATTTCAAGACCTAGACAACCAACCAACATGGATGCTGTTACTAAAGATAGCTCAAATCAGTAGATAAATTTTCATTTGCACCCCTCTTACCTGTGAATTTTGCTTATTTGGCCAATAAGTAGGGGGGGGGGGGGTAAACCAATGCAGCAGAGTAGAGTCAGTTTAGAGTCAATGATAAATGAATAATATTTGACAATTTTCAAGTATACTTTTTTTTTCAGAATGATTTTTCTTCGATACACTATAAAAGAAAGTGCCATAAAATGCCTTGAAAAGTATCAGGGAGAATTAACATTGAGAATTGCAGAGGAAAAATGTGCAAAGGGTCCAAATCAACCAAGAGCCCAGAAAAGGGATGATGATTTTATTATATCAAAGAAAAAGTCTGGTAAGTCATTTTATATTCTGCCAAATATTAATCATGGAGACAAGGGTACAAAGTCCAAAAATGTATAACAAGATAATGGGAATGTGCTGCCAAAAAATCCAAGTGGTGCTAAAGATTCATATGATAAAAATTATTGGTTTTAAAGAATGGAAAAATAGAAAATGTCACTTATTTTTAAATATGAATAATTCAATGTTTTATTTCTTTATCATATTTGTTGATCTTAACCAAATTTATCTAAAGATAAGTAAGTGATACATTCAGTGTAAAATAGAATTTCTGCAGATTATCAATGAAAGATTAGTATATTATTAAGCAATGTCAAGAGTTATTGACAAATGAAATGTTGTAAGCATTACTATAACTACACATGAGTAGATGGCAATTAAACCTATGATTTAAGCTTTACAAGTGCAACCCAGTTTAAAATATTTTGGAGTTCTGAAATTTTGATCAAGCTTAATTCTATTTTTTTCATTCTGTAAGTAAACCTTTCCTTGGTAACATGACTTAATACCCAACCATCAAATGTATTGGATACAATCATAAGACACTGCTTTATCTTGGTAAAGCTAAATAATACAAGTTAGATAACATCAGCCAAATTGACAACAATGAAGAACTACATCATTAAAAAAATAATAGTCTTTGAAGTGGTCATTAGACTTACAGACTACTATGTAAAACACAATTCTGTGTCCACACTTACTGTGATTGAAATGACAGAAAGGTTCCTTCCTTGATACAACCTGTATGTTGTCATGTATGTACCAATGGTATTTTACTGAAGCTAGTAGAAGACTTGTTTTAAATAAATGCTGGTGTGAAATCTGAGATTTCTCTTTAGAACTTCTCAATCAACTAATATCAAAAAAAGACTTTCAGAAAGCATTTGATTTTGGTAATCTTTCATGTTGTGTGCTTTAAAAAAAATGTTTTTCATACCTTAATTTTTGCACCTTTAAAATGTCTTGACAGTATAAAAACAGCTCTACAATAAAACTCCCAAACATTTGGGTTCTTGTTTCAGATAATACAGATGAAGACAATGAAGTATATGTTGGGAATTTAGATAAATCTGTTACAGAGGTAAGAAGAATATTATTGCATCAGCAGTTTTTATGGCCCTGTAACAAAGTTGTCAGGGCCATATAGTTTTACCCTTGTCCATCATTCCGTCATTCTGTTATTCCATCATTCCGCAACAAACCATTACTGTAAATTTAGAAATTATTGCGTGCATTTATTATTGCGATTTTGTCATTTTAGACTTAAATGCGATTTAAATTTTTGCGATATTGAAAAAAATCCTGTTTAATTCATATAAAAAATTTCAAAATGCGAGTTTAAATTATTGCGATTATAACCCTGTTGCATTTTTCGCAATAATAAAAACATCGCAATAATTTCTGAATTTACAGTATACACAATTTTTTTCTAAACGCCTTCAGATATTGGGCTGAATTTTGGTATGTGAGTTAATCATGATGAGTTACAGATTAAGTTTAAGTTTCGTTCCACTTTGCTAATGTTTGCCAAAATTATGGGCTTTGGGCTTTGATAAATTGTTGAAAATCACAGTTATACATACTTTTTTTCTAAACACCTTCAGATATTGGGGTGATTTTTGGAATGTGAGCTAACCATGATGAGTTACAGATCAAGTTTAAGTTTCGTTCTGTTCTGCAAATTTTTGCCGAAACTACGGACTTTGGACTTTGATAAATTGTTGAAAATCACAGTTATACATACTTTTTTTCTAAACACCTTCAGATATTGGGTTGATTTTTGGAATGTGAGTTAACCATGATGAGTTGCAGATCAAGTTTAAGTTTCGTTCTGTTCTGCAAATTTTTGCCGAAATTACGGGCTTTGGAATTTGATAAATTGTTGAAAATCACAGTTTTACGGACTTTTTTTTATACGCCTTCAGATTTTGCTCTGATTTTTTATCTGTAAGTCTACCATGATGAGTTACAGATCAAGTTTATGTTTCGCTCCACTATGCTGATTTTCATGTCGTTTCAACACATCTTGTTAGATCTGCAGTTTATTGTCTAACTTATGACGATAATTTCAGAATGCAAGACATAGGGATTACTCATTTACATGGATCATTGATAATGTTTATTTTATATAACACTTATTGTTTAACCTTTAAGACTTTCAACATAACTTCAATCATGAACAGTAATGCAGGCAAGACATTTCAGAGTGTGCACTCTTGTTCAAATATGGGCAGTGGGAAAATTTTAGCTATTGCATGCATAATTTCAACATTTGTGTAGGTCATTAATTTGTTATTCCCCACTAAAAATAAGCTAAAGAATATTTATTTTGACGTAAGGGTTTAAAACTTTTGCACTTCAAGCAGCTGACTGACCTGTAATTATTATTGGCTTCAATAATGCATGGATTGACATTGTTTTCAATGGTATCAATTCTGAATATGTTTATATACTAATTGTTGTACTGATCTACATTTTCCTGTCATTATGTATAGTTTGATTTTTGTGCTTATTAGGATGATGTCAGAGAACTTTGTGAAGAATTTAAACCCACTGATGTCAGGGTTAGAAAAGCCAGAAATGATGACAAAAAAGTGTAAGTATATTGCCAACTTTTACCTAGGGAAAAAGTAGGTTTTCAGATACTTTTTTTTCAGCTCACCTGGCCCAATGTGAATCCACAGTACATGGAAATTATGCTTGACCAGATTTTATTCTAAAATTGATGCAGATTCTTTAGATGCAAATCAAGTTTCATTCCAGCCATCCTACTTTTAGCAAAATATTGACCTGTGACCTTGCATAATTTTTGTAAATTGCACTTTTCTGAACTTTTGATTTGCATGATGACTTTTCCATAGGGGCATTAAGTGTTTCCCTTGTCCGTCCATACATATTCCAAAATTGGCTTCCGTTCTCTAACTTAAGTTTGCCTCAACCAGATGTTATGAAACTTAAACACGATGCTTATTACCACAAAACACAGATCAAGTTCAAATTTGGGTGGCCTCACTTTACCGTTCTCGAGTTATGCCCCTTTATAACGTTATATTCAAGCAGGGGCATCAACTGTGTCCATGAACTGTGTCCCATGGACACATTCTCCATTTATTTTTAAGACTGTTTTTATGTCAGTGAGTTACAGGTCAAGATTGTGCCTTGTTTTAGGTTTCCTACTTTTTAGGTAATTTTGGACATGGAAGATAATTTATATAAACATTGCCCACCATACCTGGACACATTATTCTGAGTCCTATCTGACCAGTCTTTGCTCTTACTCCTAAATGCTACATGATTAGTGGAGAAGCAGAATACCAATTTTGAAGTCTTTGGTTTGACCCAGACTGGAATCAAAAGTACAACCTCCCACATTCAAAACAAGCACAATAACACTGAGGCTTTTGTTTTTGTATAATGACGGGCTACTAATCAAGTTTTCCTTTTTTTTCTGGGGAATGAAATTATACCCCTTAGACATTTATTTATCTTTTAATAATAATACTGTTAAATTAAGTTTCAAAATTTTTATTAGCTCACCTGGCCGAAGGGCCATGTGAGCTTTCAGGGATGATTCTACTATATAGTTTAGGGCTGCTGAGCGGCCCTAAAATCGGCTGGCGGCTCCCAAAAAATTTATGTGAATCATATTTCCCAATTCAGGAAAAATGAAATAAAAATCGATATTTCCGGAAATGATTCCATCACCGATTTAGGCAACTATAATTTTTCCTAATTTGTCTTCTGAGCATTTTAAAATCTGGATAAGAATGCTGTCAACGATTGCATTTAATTAACAACAATTTAATTATGTCAACATGTGGTTAAATAAAGGCAACAGTAGTATACCGCTGTTCGAAACTCATAAATCGATAGAGATAAAAACAAATCCGGGTTACAAACTAAAACTGAGGGAAACGCATCAAATATAAGAGGAGAACAACGACACAACAAAAACACAACATTAAAATGTAACACACACAGAAACGAACTATAATATAACAATGGCCATTTTCCTGACTTGGTACAGGACATTTTAAGAAAAAAATGGTGGGTTGAACCTGGTTTTGTGGCATGCCAAACCTCCCGCTTTTATGGCAATGTCAAACACAACACCAAAACGACAACATCACATGACAGGACCACAATACAAATAAATGGGAGAACATATAGGACAAAGAAACACACGAATAATAGCTAACAAAAGGTACTAGGCTTAAAATTCAATACGCCAGACATGCGTCTCAAAGACCAACCAGTGACCCTCAGATGAAAAAAGTTTGAAAGCTAAAACAAGTACAAAGCTGAAGAGATACAAGGACCAAAACTTCCAAAAAGTTGCGCCTAACACGGCCAGGGTTTTCTGCCTGGGACAAGAACATCCTTATAATTTAGAATAATTTATAATTTTGCAAACAGTAAATTTTATAAAATGACTTTATAATAGATATACATGATAAAACCGAAGTGGGGACTAACTACAGAATAAAAACGGATACATTACATAAAACAACTTAATCCAACACATAAAAATACACAGCCGAGTTAGCCAAAGCCTCAACGCACAAAGTGACGTCACATTTGAAATTCTAAAAAAACACACAAAGTGACGTCACATTGAATTTGTAAAAATATTTCCCAAAAATAAGATAGGATTAGGATTGATTCAAGATTAGATTTGTAATACTGACATTACATTTATTAATAACAATGAAAATTACAATACTATTAATATCAAATTGTGGTAGTAACTAGATAATTAATTGTATTATCTAGCTATGTCGGTGTTTCTTCTGAATCAAACTGTAAACCAAATATATCGTATAAATTTCGTTGAACCAAACTAAAATCTAATAAATGAAGGGGTGATTAATTATCTTTACCATAACACACGAATATAACAGAAAAGACGTTAAGACATTTGACAAAATCCGACGAGAATAACAAATATAACATCAAAATTAAATACATGAATTTGGGATAGAAAAGTACCTTGACACGTCTTATAGCAATGCGGTTTCACACTCAGCAAAACAGTCACAATCGGGAATAAGTCACGTTAGGTAATTAAAAGATCAGACGACGTAATGACAAACCACGTGGTAAAAATGTCCTTAGTTAGTTTGGACAAAGACACATCGTATGGATCAACCAATAGACAACTTTCGAGTTCTATGCATTTCTGTCAAAAATTCTGGTTTTAGTGAACATCATTTGTGCGTTTAGGGGCATCGTCACTTCCGTTCCAATGTTGAGCAAGTGGTTGGAAAACTATAATGCTATATTGCACGAATTATATGACAAATTAAATTCTCATAATTGACAATCAGCACTACTGTCATTAGGGAATTGTGATTAAGTACTTACAAAATAAACATTATTTCTAGTTTATCCTGCACAATGACAATCACTAAGACGCTTGATGAACGTTAATAGTGCAGGGATACAGGCGATCCCCTCTATCTGGTAAATGACGTCATAAAGGCGCACATAATTGACGAGTTTTTTCCGGTGAAGGATGAACTCGAAAGTGGTCTATTCGTGATGGTGTCCGTAAAATTTACGGAGTGTCATTATACGCCCGTCAATTTTTGACGGGACGTATTATGGTATACAAATGTCCGGTGTCCGTCCGTCCGTCTGTCCTTCCGTCTGTCTGTCTGTCTGTCTTGCGTAAACATGTTGCACAGTAACATCAGAACAACTTATCCAAATTTTATGAAACTTAACATAGTTGTTTCTTATGATGGTCAAACGATCTGTATACTTTTTGGTGAAAATAAGATTAAAACTTTTTGAGTTACGGGACTTAGTAACTAAAACAGGTGTGTGTTTTTTTTCACATGTCGCGCCGTATCTCAAAAACAATTTATGATTATTGCTTAAAACTTTACACACTTCTTAGTTATATTAATCTTTAGATCTGTATACTTTTTGGTGATGATTCAAAATTTATTTTTGAGTTATTGAGTATTTTGTAAAAAAAGGGGGAGGGGTTTTTCACATGTCACGCCGTATCTCAAAACCGATTTATGATTATTGCTTAAAATTTTACACACTTCTTAGTTATATTAATCTAAAGATCTGTATACTTTTTGGTTTTGATTCAAAAGTTTATTTTTGAGATATTGATTTTTTTCTTTTTTTTTAAAAGGGGGGTGGGTTTTCACATGTCGCGCCGTATCTCAAAAACGATTTATGATTATTGCTTAAAATTTTACACTTCTTAGTTAAAAAAAGGGGGCCTTCGCATGTCAGGCTGTATGTCAGAAACTATTTATGGTTATTGAATAATAATTCACACACAAGACGATGGGCGTATCATGCGCTCATGGCGCAGCTGTTTATTTTTAATCTGTCCTCCTCATAACTTTGTTGGAGCAGTTTCTGCGTAAGGAGCACACTCCTGTATATGAAGTCCGTATAGTGTGAACAAGCACGAGAATAACGTATCAATTGAGATATGTAAACACCATACGAAGGGGCAGAGGGTATGTTACTGCTGAGAAATGGGAAATTGATAATTGGGAAGTTGAAATCGTTCCGTTTATCATAGATTTTAGCAGCCGGATTCAATTGATGAAAATGTTATGGGAGTATTTGATCTCGTAAAAGCAGATCGCCCAGCAGGTTGACAAAAAAGATGCTCTTTTCAAATGTGTCTTATTAAAGCAGACCTCGGCTCGTGAAAGCAGATTGCCCAGCAGAGCCAGTTATATGATATGATGAAAACTTGTTTTGTAAAGGAAATTATTATATATTTTGTCAGGCTCCATTTCTTCAAAAGACAAAAGTTTGAGCGTTTTTGAAAATACATGTGGATGATAGATCATTCATGAAATAGGATGTCAACATTATGGAACCGTTTCAAAAGTTGTAAAGATGATCCAAATAATATTTAAATACAATGGTTCAATGCTTTAATTTCCTGTTTCTTAGGGTTACACCTGATGAAAAAAAATTAACATATAAAACAGCCAGCAAAAACCACAAAATTATCTTATCATGCAATTAAGTACTTAAACTTTTGTACATAGCTTTTCTGAATTTGACAATTTGCCAGTTCAATTTGAATTCAATTTGAATCAATGTAAATTTATAAAGATGACCTATTGTTGAAAAAAATACCCATTTTTTCAGTGGTTTATGTTAGCTGTTTTGCATGTAAAAGGCATTATGTTACCATAGCTAAGATGCACGCCTTCAAAAGATATTGCATCATTTGCAATGATCTTCATGTAATAGCTGTCAAGCGATCTGGTAATCACATATATCATTATCAGTACCCGTCCAGGATTATTCAAAATGTTTTAAATTCTTACAGCAGTGTACAGGTGAAACTTAATAAACATTTTCCGTGTTTACAGGAAAATAATGTTATTTCGTCTTAGATTTTATGTATAAAAAATTCCCAATTGGGATGAAAATTCCCAATTTGATGGTCGAGGGACCCATTTGAAAACACCTGGAATCATCCCTGGCTTTTCTCATCACTAGGCATCCATCGTCTGAACAACAAAAGTGATCAGCAAGACAAGATCTACAAATAAGTCTAAAAACTGAATTCTTCAGTCCACTGGTTATTGAAGTTATTGCTCTTTGATGACGATTTTTACCCATTTTTGGCTTTTTTGCATATTATCTTAAAAACTATAAAAGAAAGATAGAAACTTTAAAGAACAAAAAATGATCAGCAAGACAAGATCTACAATCAGGTCAAATTCTGCCAAAAAAGTTAGTAGATAGGAGTGATTGCCAATAAAAGATGATATTTTTTTACCATCTTTTGTGTTTTGGGCAAAAACTTAATAAGAAAGAAACTGTAAACAGTAGTCTACAATGTTGAAGATGCACCAAGACCTAGGTGAGCCTCTAGTTCTTCTTGATCCTTGTTTGTATCAGAAGTTGGATATGCTTTGACTTGGACGGATAGTTGTCTCATTGGCACTCATACCACATCTTCTTATTTATATTAGCAAGACAATTTGTACACTCCTGTTTTATTGTTTTATGATTGCTTCTTTTTTTCAGATTTTCATTTGTTACCTTCAGTGATAACAGTAGTGCTCAGAGTTGTGTACAAAAATTAGATAGCCTTGAACACAAAGGTCGCAGATTGAACTGTAGAATTGCAGTAAAAGATGGCGGCCAACCAAAACAAAATACAAGGAGAGAAGGTAAGATGATATAATCTACAAAGAAGATCTCAGGTGGAACACTGTTCTTATTTTGCACGGCCAAAATGATGGTATGATCTATTGCCATCATTTGTTGTTTATGGTCGGTCTAAAAAATTTACTGAAGGACCAACTTTGTTGATATTTGTTGTTGCAAGTTAATCAGCGAATATTATCTGCAAATAAATCTGCTTTGCTGATATTGACTGTTCTTAATCAATTTGATCGACAGTAATAATTTTGGCTTTTGTGCAGAGAATGCCTGTATTGTAAAATTTCATATTTTATTTCATAAGTGATGTACGAGCACAACAAGCAGTAACAATGCAGTTATAGCTGATGCAAACTGTAATTGCAACATTCTTTACAAATTTCCACTTGACTCTAATTTTTAACCAAAAAAATAATAGAAATATACGAAAATTCTATATTTCTTGCCTGGAAATATTACTACAGTGCTTCATTTCCTCAAAGGAAAGTAGATATCTTATATTAGTTATATGAACAAAGATGTGGATTTTCTAAAAGTGTCCATTTGAGCATTTTTGCACCTGCATGCATATGGGCATAAAAGATTCAAGATGGTGTTGATTGATGATAATCATGATATGCTTATTCATCTTTCAGGGTATTGACAATTAGTATTAAGAAGTATGAGGGTTGAAAAGAACTCAGAATAAATAATGTTGAGGTGTTAGAGGTTTCAAATGATTATTTTGAAAAATGAAAATTAACATCATTGTTTAACTTATATTGATAATGGGTGTGTGAAGAATTTTCCAATGAAAGAACTCTGATGTATCAGATGTCTTTTGATATAACTTAAAGATTTAAATCACTTTGTTCAAGGATTTGACATCTGTATACTGTATTTTTGATATTAAGTGAATATGCATTTTGGACAAAGTTGCATTCAATTCTCAAAAAAAAAAAAGGAAAAGTGAGAAGGGGAGGATCTGTTAATATGATAAAGTTGCTATGTTGCTGCAGTGGTATCTTTTAGTATATAAGTGTTGTTTTGTTGCAGCAGTGGTGTCTGTTGGTATCATAATGAATTGCTCTTCTTTTAGAGTCAGGTGGTAAAGTATCATGGGGGTCCGGTGGAGGACAAAGTTCTGCAAGGAGTGTAATTGTAGATGATGATGAATCTTGGGACAATGAAAACAAAAGCAGCAGTACAAGTAGTGGTAATGTATTTATTCTCTTATTTCACTGACAATACTTTATGAAAAGGATGAAATAATGGTAGTACTGTATGTTTTTGTTCTGTAATCTTGTTGACAACTCGATATAATAACTGAAATAGTACATGGTAAATATATGGCAAAATGGGAGTTTATTTGTAACTTTTCTCAAAGTCAAATGTTGTAATGTTTATAACAGAACTTTATTCTTTTTATTAGTCTGACTGTCAAATTTTGACCAAACCAGTAGACCTAGGCATGTAACCAAAGAAAAGTTCTTAATTTCTTATCAGGCTCCACACCTCATTTTGATTCAGAGTAGAAGACAGAGTAGAAGATAATGGTTCACTTTTTTCTTTGGATTGTACAACAATTATTCCTTTTATAAAGTGGTTTGAGGTGAAGACAATAATTTGGCCAAGGTTGCCGACTAATGTGAAACAACTATTGATTGACCAGTTATACAATTACTATTTACAAAAGCTGTTCTGATTATCAGGAAACAGAATCCCTTTCCCAAATTTTTGTTTAAGTCTATGCAATAATAAAGAATTTTAGCAATGAAAAAAAAGGATTCTAACAGACAGTATAATAATTATCAATATTTTTTATATTTGTCATTTAGCCCAGCCTTCATCTACATTTTCATGGAAATCTGCTTTGAACCAGTCAGATGATAGTGCTCAGAAAACATCCTCATTTGGACAGACTTCATCATTTGGGCAAAATTCATCTCCGCAGACTTCATCATTTGGGCAGACTTCATCTTTTGGACAGAATACATCTCAACAGACTTCATCATTTGGGCAGAATTCACCAAAACAGACTTCATCTTTTGGACAAAATAAATCATTTGGGCAGAGTTTAAGTCAAAATTCTTCTTCTTTTGGAAAAGGTAATCAATAAGAAAAATTGATTTATGTCCCTCCTGCATCTTGCTACAAAGGCAAGACATAGCAACGATTTGGATGAAACTTATTTAGATGAAAGATATATGATTTTGGGGTCAAAAGGGCAAAGATTAAGGTCACTATTGCAAAAAAAGATTGGAGAGAAAAAAATGAACAATGATTTTCTTTTGGTAACCAGAATTTCCTTTGCTTGATTAAATTAAAAATAAAAAAAACGTATAGGGAAGATGAAGCCTATTGATTTTTGAGTCAGAGGTCAAGGTCATATATGACACTTATAAATAAATGTGGGGTTTGGTAAGCATCTAATGGCAGTGTCAACTTTTTACTTGTTTTGTTCTGGTTGTCATTAGTGATTGGTAAACTGTATTATTGAAGTGTATTGCAAACAAAAAAGAATATAGAATATATAGAATTAAAAATTGGACTGAAGCTTCCATCTTATCGAAAGACAGTATCTAATGTCCCATTCAATAAGAAAACATTTTGCTAGTTCCACAAAGTGAAACTCATATATAAAAAAAATCTACAAAGGGAGATGTGAAACTAAATTCTCTTAAGATTTTATTTTTTGTTGTTGAAAATTTTATTCCTTTCAAGTTATATGGAAGTGGGTCTGATGAGGAAAACCATACATTACATAGAAGCTTTCAAACTGTAATGAGCTTAATGTTTTCATAAGTTTCCTAACTGTAGCATTGCTTAGGTTTCTTATAGATTATCTAATAATAAATTATACATATATGTGGACCTGTTCAATGTTATTATCTTAAGCATGAGATTTTGAAATATGATTTGAATGATTTTCTTTATGTAAATTTTTATGAATTTCTTGATCATGTGATCGATTACTCTAGACATGCAATATAAGTAAAATTTGATGCAGAACTCAATGAATTATTGTCAGATCAGTTTTATATTGAAAGTTAATCATATAAACTTTATTTAAAAAATAACTATTAAATTGTATTAAATTTCTAGGTATATTTAATTTTATTTAACTTGTATATTTTTAATTTCCACAGGATCAGAGACTTCAAACGGAGATTCAGAATCTGCTACAGTTTTTTTTGGCAATCTTCATTCAAGTATTACACAGGTATACATCACAATTAATTTTAATATTGCAGTTGACACATTTGTTTTCATGGATAAGTTTTCTCTTTCAGAAACATTTTATGATATGTCTGCTGTATTCATTATATTTCCATATATTTCAACAAAGCAGTTGAAAAGGGTTACAGACACTTTGTTGAACATTAGTCAATATCTTTAAAGATTTCATTTTCAACACAATATATTTATCATTATAAATGTAATTGACAAATGAAATCAGATTTCTTAAAGGGTCATTATAAATCACTGAGTTAGGACAAGTAAATTATAAACTATAATATATTGGTACATCCAGAGGAATTAAAACTTTGTCTCTGAGCATGCATGAAATACATAACCATAGGAAAGAACTTCCTAAGTAGCAAATTTAGTATTTTAGAATTTTGACAGAAAAAGAAAAAATCCATTGGATGGTTTGAATAGATCCTTGCAAATAGGTTAGAATAACACTGAATGATAAACTGTTATACTATTTTGTAACCAAATATTATTTTCTTAATTTAGGAAGATTTAGAAGATCTTGTGAAAGAATTTTCACCAACTCAGATCAGATTTAAATCTGATGGACGGAGAGTGTAAGTTATAAATACCTTTATACCAAGCCTTGCAAACAGGGGTATGCTTAGCATGACAAACTTGAATTTTTGTTATATTTGATTTTTGTTGAGCCTGAGCCAGACATAGCCATCCTAGATTCTGTTGGCGGCGTCAACTTTAGGTTCAGTCTGTGGTTAAAGTTTTTTTTAGACATCAATAATTTTGTCAAACCTTCATGGAATTTTATGAAATTTGGACAAAAGCTTGTTATGACCAAAAATACAGTATCCAGAGCAAAATTTTGAAAAAATTTATTTTCATGTTTCCATATTTTTCTGATAAATGGACTTAGTTTATTTTACAGTTAACAAGTAGATACAGTCTGGGGTTCAAGTTTGTTACACATCAAATACTTTGTCAAACCTTCATAGAATTTTTTGAAACTTTGGCAGAATCTCTTTTATGATTAAGAGATAATGTCTTATGCAAAGTTTTGAAAATGTATTTTCATTTTCAGTATTTTTCTGATAGATGGACTTAGTTTTTGACAGTTAACATTTACAGACAGTCTGGGATTAAAAATTTTTGACATGATAAGTTTGTAAACCTTCATGGATTGTTATGAAACTTGGACAGAAGCTAATCTTCAAGACCAAGAAATAGCATCTAAAGAAAAAGTTTGAATTTTTTTTGAAATTCTGTATTACTCATAAATGGAATCACTTTTTAAGTCAACATTACACTTTTACACTGACAGCAGCAATCGTAGGCGAGACACAGGATTCTGTGGAACCCCTTACAAATTTTTCTGAGACAAAAGTCACAGTAAGCAAGAAAATTATTACTTTGTGGTCTCCTGACATTACATTATATAGGTCAACAATATTTTGTTACGAGGAGTACTAGCTCATATGACATATGTTACATGACCTCAACCTCATTTCCAGTTATCATTTAAGTTTGTGGATTAAGTGTGTAGCTCAGAAATTATACATAACAAGTTGGAAATATTCTTCATCAGAATTAGTTATAGGCAAATTAACAAGTGGAACTTACAAATTTAATTTGATCAGTGAGTTTACTTCAGTTTGAGAGTTCATTCCCTTTTAAAAAAATCCAATATTGCAAGCAGAAAAGATGCTCTAATTTGTAAACATTTATAGAGGTTATTGTTATTAGAGATTATATCCCATATACAGATTGATTTATTTAACATTTCAGAAAAAATTACCAACTAAGGGAAAACAGTGGCCAATAATTTGTCATAAATATTTTTTTCAGGTTTGCTTTTGTTGTAGTCAGGTCAGAAGCAGTTTGCAATGAGTGTATAAATAAATTTGATCAAATGGAGTGGAAAGGGAGAAAAATTGCTTGTAAAATTTGTACCGAAAACAAACCAGATAAACAGAATAATGGTATGTATATAGCTATTTTGATGGTAATAAAAATGTTCTCTTTTGTTTGGTCGAATCGGTTTGCTGGGCTTAACATGGAGAATTGCATGTAACTGAGAAGAGAAATTAGTTCAGGAATTTTGTGTGCATTTATTATTGCAGTTTTTAACAATGGACAAAAATGTGAGATTAATTATTGTAATTTCAAGAAATGAAGCATACAAATAATGCTATCAAACCTAACCCACCACAATTTTTTGCAATAAAAACAACAATGCAAAAATTCTCAATTATGAGTGTTTCAAACAAATAGCATGAGTGGTACAATGAATTTATGGAAATTTAAATTAGCAAATACTCATAGTAGTTGAAACAAAAGGTACCTGCAATGTTGATTATATTATTAAATTGAAAAGATTATTATTACATCTTGAGAACATATTTTGACTACATCTCAGATTCTTTTCAAAGGTTATGTTAGCAATGGCATGTAAAAACCAGTAATATTTCTCTGTCTTTTAGATAAATAGTAGATGTTGGGTTATGTCAATGAGCATACTACCTAATGACACAAACAGCCAAAATTACATATTTGGAGAATTTCATTTAACTTCGCTGATTCTTTTCTAGGTTGTTTCCAAAAAATTAATAGCAAATTGCATTGAAAACAGATGGAAAGGTATCTACTAAGAAAACTTATTGAACAAAAGTGGGGAAATGAATTCATAATACCTTTTTTCGAAAATGGCAGTGTTGAAGTATATTGATCAGTTCAGTGGCTTGATGGCCAAGTGGTCAATATAGTTCATCTGTATTTATTAGCCTATCAAATTTTAAGGTTTTTGTCGAGTCTGCGACTTTTGTCGCAAAAGCGAGACATAGTGATCCTACATTCCGGCGTTGGCGGCATCCACAAATATTCACTCTGTGGTTAAAGTTTTTGAAATTTTAATAACTTTCTTAAACTATCCTGGATTTATACCAAACTTGGACAGAAGCTTGTTTATGATCATAAGATAGTATCCAGAAGTAAATTTTGTAAAAAAAAATCCTGTTTATCTGTATTTTACTTATAAATGGACTTAGTTTTTCTGCCAGTTAACATTACATTCACTCTGTGGTTAATGTTTTAAAATTTTAATAACTTTCTTTAACTATCCTGGATTTATACCAAACTTGTACAGAAGCTTGTTTATGATCAAAAGCTAGTATCTAGAAGGAAATTTTGTAAAAATTTATTTCCTGTTTTTCCGTATACAGTAGACTCCACCTAATCGGATATCGGCTAAACGAATATATCGGCTATTGTAATATTATTTCAAAACACCAAACCCTTCCCTATATGTTTAATGTTAATTTTATCGTGTAATCGAATATCGGATATAAGAATATATCGGCAAATCGGATAAGAATATTCAGGTCATTTTGTTCAAAACCATGCACAATCGGATATTTTCAATGTTTTTCTGACAGGAAATGGAACCGGAAGTTACGAATTTACAATCTTGCAGACAAGAAGATTTTGTTTTTACTAAATAAAAGGAACTATTTCTTAATAAATTGAAGTCTTTAATCATTGTCTTCTTTTGTCATGTGAATTAGTTGCCCTTTTACTTCAAATGGTTTGAATTTATTTATAAAACATGCAAGACTCAGTTGACAAGTTGACGTTGCTGTTTGGAGAATTTTGATTAAACTCTAAATGTTCACAGAATCAGAAATATAATCTAAACTGAATGTACCTCCTTCTGAATAATTTATTGCAATATAAATATAAATCCCTTTTGACAAGAGAATTCTGACTTTTGTCAGATATATTTTTTTCACATGTGCAAAAGTAACCACATGTCATGGACGCCATTTTGGATGTTTACAAATTTGTGAGGAAGCCTCTAGAACTATGACCTAAATATAAATAGTCTTCAGAAAACGTAAACTTTATGCAATAATATTTTATCAATCATGATTATTTTCATAAATTTAAATTTGATTATTTAAAGAAATAAAATTATAACAAATACGATTTTAGTTTGGAGATTCTACACAGACATGCTTAGATCTATTTATAGCCAATTTAGTTTACCTGTGTGATAATGTAAATAATGGATATTTATTTGCTTACAAAACAAATAAAGACAAACTATGGATGGCAGATAATAATTCACATAAATATTTCAGGACATTTGATTTATTTTAATAAATAAAGGATTTAAAAACTGCAAACAAATTTAATCATTACATAATCAGCTGATAATTTTTTACACAAACATCGTGGTGATGTAACTGATAAAAATCACTCCATCAATCCTCCAGCCCTTTCACATATTTAGCAATTGTCAGGGTTAATAACATCTCAGGATTATATCTAAACATTATTGCAGAATATTCAATGAATATACATTCATCGTCTAATTGAATATATCGGGTAATCGGATATTTTTAGCTGACATTTTGGGTATCCGATTTGCCGGAGTCTACTGTATTACTTATAAATGGACTTAGTTTTTCTTCCAGTTAACATTACATACAGTCTGCAGTTAAAGTTTTTAAAACATTTATTAGATTCATAAACCATCCTGGATTTTTACCAAACTTGGATAGAAGCTTCTTACAGTCAAAAGATAGTATCTAGAGGAAAATTTTTAATGATTTTTTCCCCATTTTTGTTGAGCCTGCGACTAACAGCAAAAGTAGGCGAGACACTGGGTTCCGCGGAACCCTTTCGAATTTTTATTGTAAACCCTGCTACTGATGAGGCATGTTTCACTCTGATTGTTTAGTGACTTGGATTTAAGTTTTGCTACCAAAGATCAGTTGTTCTATCCAGGTACTCTGACTTCCTCCACCAATTAAAGGTAGCCTCCATGATATAGCCAGGGTGGTTGAAAGTGGCGTTACTCGCCAGCAAATTGATATACTGATCAAACTACTGTTTCATGTTAGTAAAGATAACTGTAACAATGTGAAGAATAGAATCATTTTTTGAAAATGTATCATTTCAGCAAAGTCAGCTTCATCAGGTGGTAATATGCCATGGAAATCTGGTGGGGATCAAAGTTCAAATCAGAGTAATAGAAGTCAAAGGTTAAGTAATAATGATGATGAATCATGGGATACTGACAAAAATCATAATGATGTAAGTGCTATGTTTGGTAGTCTGACAATACAAACTAGTGAAAACGTAGCTTCAACAAGAATAGTTTCTCCACCAAATAGACAACAAAGGTCAGGGTTACTTCAGGAGACATCACCTAAAAGTTTCCAGCAGAAGTCACCTAGAAGTTTCCAGCAGAAGTCGCCTAAAAAATTAAATCCGTCCAATTTAGAACAATTTAGTCGAAGCCCCAAAAAACCACAAATGCCTGATTATTCTGGCATGCCACATTTAGAACCAGCTATGCCTCCCCTTGAACCAGCAATCATAGATGAAATGCCTCCTTTGGAACCTTTTGATGATGAAATGGAGCTAATTGAAGTGTTTGTTGCGAATTTTCCATATTATGAAACACAAGTAAGTTAGCCTTTTATTTTCAGTATTATACTTACTGGGGTTTTACTTATCCTTCAGTTTAAAATTCACTTAAAGCACTTGATAATACAATTAAAAATGAAATTTAAGGCTTTGAAAGTAGTTGAAATCTTAAAGGATACTTCAAACTGCAAATCAGTATGAATTATGCTGGGATTTGTCTTGTTTTTATACGACCGCAAAAATTAAAAATTTTTTGGTCGTATATTGGTATGACGTTGGCGTCGTCGTCGTCGTCGTCCGAAGACATATTGGTTTTCGCACTCTAACTTTAGTTTAAGTGAATGGATCTCCATGAAATTTTACCATAAGGTTCAATACCACGAAAGGAAGGTTGGGATTGATTTTGGGGGTTATGGTACCAGCAGTTTAGGAATTAGGGGCCAAAAAGGGGCCAAAAATAAGCATTTTTGTAACTTCCAGACAATAACTTGTGTGTAAGTGTATGGATCTCTCTGACATTGTACCACAAGGTTCCATATCACAAAGGGAAGGCTGTAATTGATTTTGGGGGTAATTGCCTCAAAATTTTAGGAATTAGGGGCCAAAAAAGGGGCAAAAAACAAGCATTTTTCTAGTTTCAGGACAATAACTTGTGTGTAAGTGTTTGGATATTTCTGAAATTGTACTACAAGGTTCCATATCACAAAGGGAAAGCTGGAATTGAGTTTGGGGGTAATTGCCCGAAACGTTTAGGAATTGGGGTCCAAAAAGGGGCCAAAAATAAGCATTTTTCTAGTTTCCAGACAATAACTTGTGTTCAAGTGTATGGATCTCTCTGAAATTGTACTGCAAGGTACCATACTACAAAGGGAAGGCTGGGATTGAGTTTGGGGGTGATGAATCATAAGGGGGTTCAAAAAATTTGGGGGGGGGGGGTTTTTTTTTTTTTTTTTTCCTTTTTTTTTTCTTTTAAAATTTTCCATTTTAAGTTGGTTATTTCTGATTTATATTTAAAAGCAAATAATAATGATATGGTAGGAGATACACACCAAACAGGATGTGTAAATTATTATATAATAAGTATTGTGCAATAGCAAGAAATCTTCAATTGCACAGTATTGCGCAATAGCAAGAAATCTTCAATTGCACAGTATTGCGCAATAGCAAGAAATATCCAATAGCACAATATTGCGCAATAGCAAGAAATTGTCAATTGTACAGTATTGCACAATAGCAAGAAATATTCAATTGCACAGTATTGTGCAAAAGAAGATACTTCGTATAAATTGCTTATTTCTTGACCAATTTCAATGGGGTTTTATTCTTGAATTCTTGGGGTTCTTTAATATGCTGAATCTAACCGTGTATTAAGTTTTTGGATTTTGGGCCCCGTTTTTAAATGAGGTCCAAAGGGTCCAAAATTTAACTTTGTTTGATTTCATCAAAAATTGAATTATTGGGGTTCTTTGATATTCCGAATCTAACCGTGTATTTAGATTCTTAATTTTTGGTTCCGTTTTCAAATTGGTCTACATTAAGGTCCAAAGGGTCCAAAATTAAACTTAGTTTGTTTTTAACAAAAATTTAATTTTTAGGGTTCTTTGATATGCAGAATCTAAACATGTATTTAGATTTTTGATTATGGGCCCAGTTTTCAAGTTGGTCCAAATAGGGGTCAAAAGGGTCCAAAAATTAAACTTTGTTTGATTTCAACAAAAATTGAATATATGGGGTTCTTTGATATGCTGAATCTAACCATGTATTTAGATTTTTGATTTTTGGGCCCCGTTATCAACTTTGTCCACATTGAGGTCAAAAGGGTCCAAAATTAAACTTTGTTTGATTTCATCAAAAATTGAATTCTTGGGGTTCTTTGATATGCTGAATCTAACCATGTTTTTAAATTTTGGATATTGGACCATAATAGGTGAATGTCCAATTTAAAATTTTTAAGTTCTTAGACCACATTCATTCTGTGTCAGAAACCTATGCTGTGTCAAATATTTAATCACAATCCAAATTCAGAGCTGTATCAAGTTTGAATGTTGTGTCCATACTTGCCCCAACTGTTCAGGGTTCGACCTCTGCGGTCGTATCAAGCTGCGCCCTGCGGAGCATTTTATTATTTTTCTATTGTTTTTACAAATTCTGCCACAGTTATCTAAAAGAAGAATTCCTTGTATCAGTGTGCAGTTTCTAAATAATAGAATCTAAAGAAAAATCAGACAGACAAGAGCGCATGTATTGTAAAAATAAAACCCTCCTCAACTGTAAATAGATTTATAGTGATTAAGGCTATACAAAAAAAATCTTAAGCTCCCAGGCTATTTTTGAGGGGGAAAATTGACGCGGAAGAACAGCATACATTTTCTTACCGAAATTGCCTTACAACACTCATCATTTGTAAATTAAAACTTCAAACAAAATTATTGATTTCACATTGATCTTTAACCTTTTCATACTACATTTCTATAATCATGTACAAGATGAAAATTTCATAAAGGTTCCCCAGAAACAGAAATAATGTTTTAAAAGATATTTCTATCATATCTTAGATTCTTTGGTAAATATTATGTGGCATTTATTCTGTTTGGCACTATTTTTATGCCCAACCTACGAAAGTAGAGGGGCTGGTTTTTATTCTGTGCGTCCGTTCGTTCGTTTGTCTGTTCGTTTGTCTGTACTTTCATTTATCTGTCCCGCTTCACGTTCAAGTTTTTGGTCAAGGTAGTTTTTGATGAAGTTGAAGTCCAATCAACTTGAAACTTAGTACACATGTTCCCTATGATATGATCTTTCTAATTTTAATGCCAAATTCGAGTTTTGACCCCAATTTCACGGTTTTCATTGCCACAACTACATGTTTATAACTTCCAATATTTTGTGTTATTTGTGATGACTGCTGATTTCAGTATAATTAAAAGGAAATGTGTGATATTCATCAATGAGAAAGATGGTGTCTCTTCATTGCTGCTACCAAGCTGATTGATTGAAGTGATGATTGCTGGTGTGACAGTTTGTGAAGACACAAGAAGCAAAGAAGTTTTGCCACACACGTTTAAATCTAAGTTTCATAATGTACAATATGATAAAGATAGAAATTTTTGGTCCTAACATGCCAAAAAGTAATATTTTTAGATGCAGTTTTTGTGAAAAAGATCGAGGAATATGTTGATACTGGAACTGCATTTAAAAAACTCATTCTACTTGAGATTTTATTTAACCTTTGTTGACAAATGGTATGCAACATGTATAATGTATCAGAATGATTTGGAATGTTTTGTTTCTTTATTTGCAGTATGATTTGATGGAAATATTTGAACCAGTTGGAGCTGTAGATATACAAATGATTAACTCTAGCAACACAAATAAAACGTAACATTGGTTATCTTAAGTTAATTACTGTAAATTCAGAAATTATTGCGATGTTTTTATTATTGCGAAAAATGCGACAGGGTTATAAACGCAATAATTTAAACTCGCATTTTGAAATTTTGTATATGAATTAAACAGGATTTTTCTCAAAATCGCAAAAATTAAAATCGTATTTTAATCTAAAATGACAAAATCGCAATTATAAATGCACGCAATAATTTCTGAATTTACAGTACATAGATTCTGCAAAAATGATACCTAAAGCTTGGGCCTATAGCATAAGAAAATTGCATGTATTAGAATCTCCATGAAAACACTGACTGTATTATCTTTAAATAATAACAGGTTAACCCTTGGTTTTAACATTTCAAGATGGAATTAGCATATAGGGTCATTTCTTTTTAGAAAAAGTTGATGTAAATGGATTGGATAGGAACTATTTGTTAAACATAGCTAATTTTTTGGATAAATCTCATGGACATTTTTTTTATCAAGTCACATATATATCCTTAAAAACTTCATGTGCAAATAGTTTAATTGAAAAAAGCAATTTAAACAAATTCCTTACTGTTAAATGTTTAAAATAAGTGGAACAGTTAATTCATTATCCTTTGGTAAGTAACTATTAGACTTTGTCATGTGATCAAGTATACCTATACATGTGACTGGAATAATCAAGTTTACCTTGCTGTGCTACATTAACAATCCAGTAGTCCTTGCTGTGTGAGGTGGAAGATACCAAAGGGGTGTTCAAACTCATAAGTCAATGACAAAAGTGACAATGCCATGACAAATAACATAAAACGTCCAAAAGACAAACAATAGTATTCAAAACACAAAAAGAGTAAACTTTAGATAGTGCAACACATACCCAACCAAAACCTGGGATTGATCTCGGGTGCTGTGGAAGGATAAGCAGATCCTGTTCCACATGTCACCCATTGTTGCTTAGACTCCAAAGATAAAGGAATTTCATAGCTTATCTGAAGAACTGCATGTAGAAAAGTTATTGATCTATACATAATTCTAGTGCTTGCTACAAATTTTATATATTGACAGTTCTAAATTTTTGGGAGCATGTCTTTTACACTATTTATCAAATTGACCTGGTAAAATTTCAAAGAAATATGGGAATAGTATATTTGAATTTATAGATACATAGATCATTATAAAATTAATTGACTTATTAAGGTTAATCCTTATTATATCTTTTTTTCAATTTAGCACAAAGAAAATTGACTAGTTAATGTATGATTTCATCAGTTTAAAAATATTATTGACAAGATATGTCTTAGCCATAACAAAGATAATTTCATGGTTTGAAATTTAATCAATTCAGTTAGATTTTGAAAGACTTGATAAAGCACATACAGTTTTATCTTTTCTTCATGGAGTTGGAAATGGGAGGGGGATTGCCAACACTTACAAGATTGTTTTGACGTAAACAGATTGATGTGATTGTCACAGGTAAGGTTTAAATGACTGAAATAAAATTGTCATAATACATGAAAAATCACAATATCATAATTTTGACGTGATTTGGTTAATATGGAATACTATTTTAAATGTGAAGTAAAATTGTATTTTTCATTTTACATAAGAACTGCGGCAGTTGTTTACTTCCTGGATCAAGAAACAGCAGATAATGCCATACTGCAAACTCATCAGGAAACGTACAAGGGGAGATTACTCTGGGTACAGATATATGAAAATGATCCTAATAAAAGAAGCAATACTACTGAAACTTTAAATTTGAGTATATCTGTCAGAACAGGTAATTTTTATCTATGTTAAAGCATTTTATGTATAGAAATATGATTGAATTGGAAGAAAAAAAATTAGTGTATAGATAATGGTAAAATATAATGCCAAGAAATATCACATTCATATTGAGGAACTGAAGTTGTATTGATCTTGTAGGTCTGATATGTGGCTTACATAGTTCCTAAAAAGTGGTGTATAGATACAAGTAAATGTGATATAGGTCATTGAGACAGCAACCCAATGACCCAAAAACCAAAAGACATAGAAAACGTTAACATATGGTCCTCAACAACAGTAAATCTGTCTAATAAATCAGGCTATCAATCACCATTAGTCAAGAGAGCTTTAAATAAATTTATTGCACACTATAAAAAAATCGATGCTTGTAAGCTGTGGTCATACCGACCTGAAACTTAGCACACATGTTCATGATGATATTACCTTTTCCTACACACTCATAGAAATAGGCTGTAAAATAAATACAAAATTTATGTTTTGAACAGTCCACTGAAATTTGATAATGTTAGCAGGGTATGGTGTCTTATGAAAACATATGCTTCTTATAAGATGTATTAAAATTATTGGGGGTTACTAAGCAAAATGGGTTTTTTATGCATTGCCTATGAAAAAAGCCTGAGGAGTTGCAGAATATACGGAAAATGCAAGAATCAAGCATCCTTAGTTGTGGAAGGATGATGTGTATGATGCTTGGTCAATGTAAGTATATTTAAGATATTTTACTAATTTTAGGTGCTGGTGGATCTAGATGTGTCAGTTTAGATCAAAACACACACAGAAATAATCCCAGGGAAAATAAACACATGAAAGGTAAGTTGTTTAAGGTTCAAGTACATAAAGTCCTACTAATACTAGAATCCTTATATCTATATTTATTTTCCTATATTATTTTTCAATAGCATGAGTGGTCTTAATGGCCTTGACATTTGAAATTTGGTTAAAGATAATAATTACTACTAGTTGGAGACTCTTGTCATGGACTCTTATTTAAACAAAAAAAACAACAAAATTTTCACCAGATAACTTATCCGTATTTGGATGATTTTAACCACAGGATAACCATTGAGCTACAACAACAGATAAATGATCCAATAAGGATAATTTCTTCAAATGGATAACATATTTTTTATCCAAAACAGATAACTGTATACACCAGATATGTTATCTGGAACAAATCTTAGCCAGAAAACTATCAAAGGAGCCCCAGACAAATACCACATCATTAGTGAAGAAGGTCCAGTAAGAAACAAGTCGGGCATAACATTATCTTCAGGCACTGTTGCATTGTGCACTCTGCATTACCTCCCCCTTATCATATCTTCTTTCACATATTACTTCAGGTGCAGAAAGTATGGATTCATTGAAGTCTTCTGGTTCAACTGGTTCAGTAGGAAAGTCATTCCGAAATTTAATGGTTACATACAAGCTAGTTATGAACAAGTTGGGAACTCGTGTTCGAGACATTGTGTTCAAACCGTATGAAGAAATTATAGTCTATATCACTTCAGTATTTGACGAGAAGACTTTCTGGGGACAGGTTATTAAGGATGCAAATGTAAGTAATGACAATTTTCGCTGTGGTACACAATATTGATTTTTGTCGAGCCTTCGACTTTTGTCGAAAAAGCGAGACATAGCGATCCTACATTCCGTCGGCGTCGTCGGCGGCGTCCACAAATATTCACTCTGTGGTTAAAGTTTTTGAAATTTTAATAACTTTCTTAAACTATCCTGGATTTCTACCAAACTTGGACAGAAGCTTGTTTATGATCATAAGATTATATTCAAAAGTAAATTTTGTAAAAAAAAAATTCCATTTTTTCCGTATTTTACTTATAAGTGGACTTAGTTTTTCTGCCAGGAAACATTACATTCACTCTGTGGTTAAAGTTTTTGAAATTTTAATAACTTTCTTAAACTATCCTGGATTTCTACCAAACTTGGACAGAAGCTTGTTTATGATCATAAGATTATATTGAAAAGTAAATTTTGTAAAAAAAAAATTCCATTTTTTCCGTATTTTACTTATAAGTGGACTTAGTTTTTCTGCCAGGAAACATTACATTCACTCTGTGGTTAAAGTTTTTGAAATTTTAATAACTTTCTTAAACTATCCTGGATTTCTACCAAACTTGGAAAGAAGCTTGTTTATGATCATAAGATAGTATCCAAAGTAAATTTTGTAAAAAAAAAAATCCATTTTTTCCGTATTTTACTTATAAATGGACTTAGTTTTTCTGCCAGTTAACATTACATTCACTCTGTGGTTAAAGTTTTTAAAATTTTAACAACTTTCTTAAACTATCCTGGATTTGTACCACACTTGGACAGAAGCTTGTTTATGATCAAAAGCTAGTATCTAGAAGGAAATTTTGATAAAATTTTGTTCCATTTTTTCTGTATTTTACTTATAAATGGACTTAGTTTTTCTTCCAGTCAACAGAACTTACATTCAGCAGTTTAAGTTTTTAAAACATTTATTAGATTCATAAATTATCCTGGATTTTTACCAAACTTGGACAGAAGCTTCTTACAATCAAAAGATAGTATAGAGAGGAATATTTTTATTAATTTTTTTCCTCATTTTTGTTGAGCCTGCGATTAACACCAAAAGTAGGCGAGACACTGGGTTCCGCGGAACCCTTACAAATTTTTATACCCCACCTACGATAGTAGAGGGGCATTATGTTTTTTGGTCTGTGAATCCGTTTGTTTGTCCGTCTGTCCATCTGTCCCGCTTCAGGTTAAAGTTTTTGGTCAAGGTAGTTTTTGATGAAGTTTAAGTCCAATCAACTTGAAACTTAGTACACATGTTCCCTATGATATGATCTTTCTAATTTTAATGTCAAATTAGAGTTTGGACACATTCTTGTTAGTAATTGTTATTGAACATCGGTTTTCTCCTTTAACAAAATCTTTTGATGGAATATAAAGAGTGGGATGAATGTGCATGAGGTGATATCGTAAAAATTGTATGGAAATATTATGATGGACAGACAGTATGGAAATATTATGATGGACAGACGGTATGGAAATATTATGATGGACAGACGGTATGGAAATATTATGATGGACAGACGGTATGGAAATATTATGATGGACAGACGGTATTGAAATATTATGATGGACAGACGGTATGGAAATATTATGATGGACAGACGGTATTGAAATATTATGATGGACAGACAGTATGGAAATATTATGATGGACAGACAGTATGGAAATATTATGATGGACAGACAGTATGGAAATATTATGATGGACAGACAGTATGGAAATATTATGATGGACAGACAGTATGGAAATATTATGATGGACAGACAGTATGGAAATATTATGATGGACAGACAGTATGGAAATATTATGATGGACAGACAGTATGGAAATATTATGATGGACAGACAGGACGGTATGGAAATATTATGATGGGCAGACGGTATGGAAATATTATGATGGGCAGACGGTATGGAAATATTATGATGGGCAGACGGTATGGAAATATTATGATGGACAGACAGTATGGAAATATTATGATGGACAGACAGTATGGAAATATTATGATGGACAGACAGTATGGAAATATTATGATGGACAGACGGTATGGAAATATTATGATGGACAGACGGTATGGAAATATTATGATGGACAGACGGTATGGAAATATTATGATGGACAGACGGTATGGAAATATTATGATGGACAGACGGTATGGAAATATTATGATGGACAGACGGTATGGAAATATTATGATGGACAGACGGTATGGAAATATTATGATGGACAGACGGTATGGAAATATTATGATGGACAGACAGTATGGAAATATTATGATGGACAGACAGTATGGAAATATTATGATGGACAGACAGTATGGAAATATTATGATGGACAGACAGTATGGAAATATTATGATGGACAGACAGGACGGTAATATTATGATGGACAGACAGGACGGTAATATTATGATGGACAGACAGGACGGTATGGAAATATTATGATGGGCAGACGGTATGGAAATATTATGATGGACAGACAGTATGGAAATATTATGATGGACAGACAGTATGGAAATATTATGATGGACAGACAGTATGGAAATATTATGATGGACAGACAGTATGGAAATATTATGATGGACAGACAGTATGGAAATATTATGATGGACAGACGGTATGGAAATATTATGATGGACAGACGGTATGGAAATATTATGATGGACAGACGGTATGGAAATATTATGATGGACAGACGGTATGGAAATATTATGATGGACAGACGGTATGGAAATATTATGATGGACAGACGGTATTGAAATATTATGATGGACAGACAGTATGGAAATATTATGATGGACAGACAGTATGGAAATATTATGATGGACAGACAGTATGGAAATATTATGATGGACAGACAGTATGGAAATATTATGATGGACAGACAGTATGGAAATATTATGATGGACAGACGGTATGGAAATATTATGATGGACAGACGGTATGGAAATATTATGATGGACAGACGGTATTGAAATATTATGATGGACAGACAGTATGGAAATATTATGATGGACAGACAGTATGGAAATATTATGATGGACAGACAGTATGGAAATATTATGATGGACAGACAGTATGGAAATATTATGATGGACAGACAGTATGGAAATATTATGATGGACAGACAGTATGGAAATATGATGGACAGACATTAATAAAATATACATAGAAATGTTATGATGGACATCATACTTAAAAATATTATTCTGGACATTAAAATAGAATTATTATTCTGGACATTAAAATAGAATTATTATTCTGGACATTAAAATAGAATTATTATTATGGACATTATACATGTACTTAGAAATATTATTATGAACATTATAGATAGAAATATTATATTGAACATTACACGTAGAAATATTATTGTGGACATCATTTCACGTAGAAATATTATTGTGGACATTATAAGTAGAAATATTATGATGGACATTAAACATAAAAATATTATTGTAGACATTATAAGTAGAGATATTATGATGGACATTATCATAGAAATATTATTGTAGACATTATAAGTAGAGATATTAGTAAGAAACCTCTGTTAGTGACTAAATGGTATAGGCATCATCAATAATCAAAGTAAGGAGATGTGGTAGGATTACCAATGGGACAGCTATCCACCAGAGACAAAAGGACATAGAAATAAGCAATTATAGGTCACTACATAGCCTTCAATAATGAGCAAAACCCATTCCCAATATCAAAGCTATAAAAGGCCTTGGAGTAACAAAATGTGAAACAATTCAAACAAGAAAACTAAATGCCTTATTTATGTTAAAACAATAAAATTACACAACAATGATTATCATCAGGTCAAATCTATGGAAATATGATCTTAAAGACCAGGGTTTCGTCTTAAAAAGACTCATCAGTGAAGCTTGAATCAAAAAAAATAATGGCCAAATAAAGTATGAAGTTGAACAGCATTGAGAATCCATTAAGTAATATATCACTGAAAAAAAAAACATTTTCAAAAAAAGAATATTTAATTAACTGCATAACAATTGATCAGTCTGAATGCATGGTCTAAATTAATTTTTATTGAGCCAGGTGTTAAACGAATTATGTGTGTTTTTGTAGGATTCATCACTAGAAGATCTGGAAAACATTATGGAGCAGTTACAACAGCCTGAGAGTAGAATAGGTTTCACAAAAGGTTTAGGAAGATGTACTGCTAAGGTGGATGATGAATGGTATAGGTATGTTTATAATATAGGGGGCTTAAAGTAGGGTTTTGATATGTTTATGCCTAGCCTAGGATAGTATGAAAGCTTAACATTTTCCAGTCTTTCCAAAAACTTTTTACACATGGGGGACTTTGTTTATTAAAAAAAAAGGGCTCAATCAATGTTTTCTTGGATATACAATAATTTAATATTGATTTGACAAAAATTGTATTGTTTCTTGATCAGTGGAGGAGAGATTTGTACAACAATTTGCTGGCAGGAATTGATGAATATAAGGAAAATTGATAAAACAGACAAAAATTGACCTTTATAAACATAAGGAGATGTGGTATGATTGCCATTGAGACAACTGTCTACCAGAGTTCAAATGAGGAGGATATAAGCAATTAAAGGTGAAGGTATGGCTTTCAACAATGGGAAAAACCAAAATCCTATATTTAGCTATAAAAGGTCCTGACATGAAAAATGTGTAACAAATCAAACAAGAAAACTAACTGCCTAATGTATAACAAAACAATTTACCAAAAAACAATTATGACAGACGTGAACCTAAAAACATCTGTATACCTTGTTCATATAAAAATACAGTATGAGCAACTGCATTTTTACCTATAACTGTATGTACATTATGTCACTTTATGGTTGTTTATAAATTCTGACTGACATCTTTACATGAAAGTGTAATTGCCAAATTTCTCTTTTCCAGATCATGGATAATAGCCGACAGGAGAGATTTTACTATAGAAGTATTTAATGTAGACTATGGAACAACAGCTGTAGTTAGTAAAAAAGAAGCATCACTCACTGTACCTGAAATCTGGGATTTACAACCTCTTGTTCGACCATTTAGGATTAAAGGTAAGGTTATATAAAGGATGATAAACAATGTTGAACCGGAAATGTCAGATGTTTAACCACTTGTTTGTCCATTTAGATGTCTCATGTATTGCCTAGAATACTATCTCTCTCTATGTAGAGATTTGATCAAAATTTTTCAGATTCTTGTTTTTTCCATCTGCAAAATGAGTTCTAAATTGTTTATGCACTTAAACTGCCGAAAGCAAATTTGAACTTACAAATAGACTTCTCAATCACATTTACAGACGAAATTGAATAGGCAAATTTGTTCACTTTAAATTCATTAAAATCTCTGTCAAAATTTTCGTCATCCAGGTACATTAATGATAATTGAGACGACCAAAAGTAAACGTCATAATGCAGCTAAATATCTCCTTCTATCGGAGAACAATGCATTTTTGTTGACACAATATAGCATAGGTGCTAACCATTATTCTTTAGCTGAAACATTGCATTTGAGCATCCCCATCACACTTAGGCATTTCAACATATATTTTCTTGCTCCATTGCAAAGAAAGTAAATATGCTTTGGTAGTTGCATAATTAAGATTAATGTGGAGGTTCTTTTTGTAATAAAGAATAACTCTTTAGCATACAGTTTTCTACATAGACCACCAACACTTGTCATTTCATTTGCACACAATTTATTTGATCTTGTATGTTCTGATATTTCAAAATGATTTTCCTACATCTCTTACAAAAGAAGCTGTATCATCAGACCTTTATTTGGATTTTATGACTATTAAATTTTTTATTAGATTTGAATAGATATGAAATCATTTAAAATAAGAAAGTAATGTGTAAAAAATATGCTTTTTTTTCAGAAGGATCACATAAAATGGAAAAGATGATGGAACAGTCATTATTTAAAGTGAAAGTGACTGCTACCAATGCTGATGAAACCGTAAGTTACCAGATCAAGGTTTTGAATAATATGTATGATTAACTCAAACAGCCAAATTCACATTTTCTACTTTTCAGTCTTGTAAGAATTTCGATCTTTAATATATTTAATTATTTCATAACACTTCCTTTTCAGTTTTACTAGTTGCAATTAATGAGTTGTAAAAATTGTTCATTTATCATGTCTATCAGCTGGTTCAGTTGTTATATTTACTACTTCTTTTCTGGGTAATAAGTGAGCTGCGTCGGATAGAAATCGACCTTATGCAAATGAATAACAATACATCTGTAAACCTAATTCCAGTTGGAAAAATCTCTATGTAAAGTCTGTAACTGTTTGAAAACTGTGTTGTTATAAGATCCATACAAAACAGACCAAAATTCATCTATATTTCGTATTTGAATGTTCCAATATCAATCAAAGTCTTACACATGTACATGTATAAGTGCACTTGCATTAGGTCGATTTCCATCCAACACAGGTCAAGTGATCAAGTGATGATAAATTCTTCTTCAAAGAATGTCTTTAAAATATTTCTTCTCATATATTTCACAAGTTACAATCTAAATCAAATATAATTAAGCTATTGACAGAACTTATTATGAAAGAATAAAGTTCATTCATTCATTCATTCATTCATTCATTCATTCAGTCATTCATTTATTCATTCATTTGTTAGATCCTCCCTTCATTTCTTTTTTCCTCCTTTCCTTCCTTTAGTATACTCTTCCAATGACATCCCTGAAGAGTGAAGCTAGGTGTCTTATTCATGCTTGTTTGACTTTGGAAGTTTAAGAAATATTGGTTTGATGATATTCTTTTCCATAAACATACAATGATGTTCTAACAACAAATTCTTGTTTTGATTTTTCTGATGAGTAGATGAGGCATACATGCAATCTTGTAGAATTATTTTTGATTTTCAAAAAAATGTCATACTGCTGATGATCCAGATTAGATTTTTCAAAATAATCTTGTTTCAAATAATAGATAATAATATGCTAACTTTCGTTGTTGAATAAACAATTTAAGTCTTAGTATGTATTAAGATACTAAGAATTTTAGTCTTTAAATCAGCATATTATTTTTTTTGCTTTTTGTAATGGCTATATATGCTATAGCATTTAACTCATTAGTATTACTGACTGTTGTAGAAAAGTGAAGAAAATTCTTCTTTGCTTGGAGAATTTAAGGTATAACCTTGCATGTATTATCAAGTTTACTTACAATGTAGTTGCTTTATAAACTTTTGCATTTCTTATTTCAAATATTTTTGCTCAGAATAATATTAGCTGCATGTGCTGACTTTTTGTATTATTTTCTTAATTCTTGAGTACAGAGCACAAGAAGGCTAGATTTTTTGATTTTTTTGTGTTGGGTTGCTGTCTTCTTGACATATACCCCTTTTACTGAAATTTTTAGGGAAAATAACAATATTGTGAATAATTTTTTGCTCAGTCTTAAGATTGCAAGTAGTAGGGGTATAATTATATCCAGTCTGTTCGACGGTAACTGGTTAAAAGATTTTATTTGAAGTAGATTTACCATTAATTCTGGTCACATCAAATTGAAACTTAATGCACATATTCATTATGATGTGAACTTTTAAAAATTGAATCCAAGAAATTTTAATTGCACTTCTATGTTAATACGAAAAATGATTTAATTTAAATGTTTTCCTGTAATTTTTAAGCATCACATCTGAAAACATTTCATGTCACAAACTTAAAGTGATCGTTTAGCAAACTATCATTAAAGACATCATGCCATCTCTGCTTCAGTCTGTTGGAATTTATTATAGAAAATCTGACGGCTTTTCTATTTAAACATAACAGTAAAGAATGCAGTCATATATGGGAAAATGATATATAACTTTATATAGATTTCTATTCATAATGCTTTCCTGGAAATTTGTTATAGTTAAATGGAATAGTCTTAGACAGCATTGCACAAATTAAAGTTTATCATACATTAACTGATATTTATTTTTTTGATAGCATGCATGTTAGCTTATTTCTGCATGACATTCCCTTCACTTACATCATAGGTTCATAGCTATTGCATTGTTTCTACTATCAATTAGTATCTGTAGCCCGTCAAAAACTCAGATTTTCTTCCCAATGCAACAATGTTTGCAACAATGAAGATTGAATGTAAAATTGAAACTCTTAACATGGCTTTTATTGTATAATAGCTTTAATCTCATATGTCTTGTTTTGTCTTTGATCTTTGCTCAATGATCTTGATGTTCAAAATGATTCAAGGTTCTGCATGGCCAAGCATGGTATAATGTTTGATGAAGATTGGATACAAGACTGAAACTTGGCAGTACTTATAAGAGTGTTGAAGATCATATTTTTAAAGGTCGTACCATATCCTCATTTGGAGAGGGGATCAACATTTGTCTATTTTAGAGTGTTCAGTAGAAAATCTGTCTTGACTTATATAAGAAGATTGTCAAATAGAAATACTGTAATTGTACCCAGTGTGATGATGAATTAACATTTATGGTGGCACTACAAACATCCTTAACCACGTCCTGTCAGAATCACCTGCAAAACAGTCATCTTATCATATTTCTAACGCATAACATCTTAATCAACTCTCACCTGATGTAATAATGGAAACTACCTTCTTGAATAAGAACAGAATTAAATCCCTTTGTGATGCTACTAAACCTATTAGTCATTTTGACTCTGGCGATATTTGTACAGCATTTGACAATGTGAACATTACCAGTCAATTTCTAAATTTAAAGCATTTTTGATAGGTCAAGGTCAATCTCAGATTTTAAAGCACTTTTGACAGGTCAATTTCTAATCTTGAATCACTTTTGACTGATCAATTTCTATACTTGAAGCACTTTTGACTGGTCAATTTCTAATTCTAGAAAAAAACAAGAGTCATAATAGCACTAACTTGGGAATTTTAAATTGATCTATTTCATTATTGTTAAATGTTTATATTTTCAGGGATTTTTAACAGAAGTAGAAGTTATAGGCCTTGCTGAATAGTTTTAGAGACCATCTTAAGTGGATCCTAAATATGGAGGTTAAAGGCCTGAAAAGCTCATTAGTTTCAATCCTAAAGCTAGATAGACCATTAATGATACAGATTGAGTTCAATAAGAGAAGGAAGATTTTGCAGAAGTTTGATGAATTAGTGGTTGAAATCTTATTGACTTGTGGAACTATTTTTAAAAAGTTTTATATTGTTATTTACTATCAGTTTAAAGCTGTTTTCTGTAATGTTAGCAATTTCAAGGTTTTGTTGGCTTGCTTGCTTGGTTTGTATTAATGTTTGCTCAAGCATTGTAATTAAGATTGACATCTTCAATCAATAGATAGGCGGGGCTTCAGCTTGTATACATTATCGATACTTAAATGTTATTGGGTGTTATGTATAATGTAAACAAGATGAAGTCTCACCTATCTATTGATTGCAGATGTCAATCTTAATTACGATGCTTGAGCAAACATTTATACAAACAAAGCAAGCAAGCCAACCAAACCTTTAAATTGCTAGCATTAGGATAACAGCTTTAATAGCTTTTTAAGCATATGGTTTTTGTTATTGTATTTTTTTATGAATGAAGAATTTCATAAAGGATTTTGTATATTCTTCAGAAGCCAATCCATCTGTTATATGTTATATGTGACCTTGAGACTTGTTGCTAAGAATTTACATGCAAGAATATATAGCATCTAAGGTAATTGAACATTGATAACCACATATGTGATACAAGTATATTTTATACGTTTATATAAGAATAAGTTGTTTTAAATATCATTGATACTAGTTTGAGGCTAAGCATCTTGTTTAAGCTTTGTACAACTTTCCTGATCTGTAAAAAATACTGCCTTTTTGATCATTTTTGTTTTGTCTGAGAAAAAAAGTTTCAGTAGCGAGACAGCGATCCTTCATTCTGTTGAGCATTGTTGACATTTAAATAGTCTATGGTCCAAGTAAAAAATTTTATCAAACTTTTAAGGAATTAAATGAAACTTGGACATAAGAACTTCATCATGATCAACAAATATATGTAGCTCAATTTTGATTTAACATTTAGATAGTGTGGGGTCAAAGTTTTTTTAAGCATAAATAACTTTGTCAAACTTTTATAGAATTTTCTGAAACTTGGACAGAAGCTTTTTATGATTAAGAGATAACATTTTTTTCATAGTTTACTGACAGCTGGACTTTTTTATGTTTAACATTTACATATAGTCTGGGGTTTAATTTAGACATCAATAATGTTGTACAACTTGCATGTAATGTTACCAAAAACTTCAACAAGCTTTATCATGATCAAGAAATAGCATCTAAAAAAAGTTTTGATTTTTTTCTCAATTTTTTCATTATTAAAAAAAATGGACTTCCTTTATGGCAGAAAACATTACACTTTTACACTGACAGGTTAGACACATGGTTCCATGTTACCCTTTACAAATATGTAGGGTCAGTGTTTTTCTCCAAATATTTTATAGAGTGTATAATCTTTGTGAGGTTATCAGATATCCCACTTGAATGAAAAATCAGTGGCTCTATTTCATTCAAAGAAAAAAGATCAGTTTCTTGGACTTTTCACAAAAAAAGTTTTTATTCTCTTTGAAAGTCACATTATATATTGTAAGTTCCCTGTGTTTTAATGATTCATTACTTAATTGTAAAAGAAATAGTATCTTCAGTTGAAAAAAGTAGCAAAAGAAATGCAGCACATCTCATAAGGGACATAGGTGGTCATCTTTTAGTTTTAATTACATTGTAGCTATGTATTTATGTTAGTATTTTTGTAAACATTTTGCTATTTGGTAAAGGATTGATTGCCTGTCATTTGTATTCAATTTAGAAAATTGCACTACATGATCTAGGATGAATATTTGTCCCATGTAAATAATGTAAAATGTATTAAGATATAACAAAAAAGTATCTATCTTCAAAAGTTTTTTTTTAATTTGCATAAGTGTTCCTTGCAGCTAGATATGTATGAAATATTTATCACTGGATATTAAAAAAACTCCAGAATTTAAAAATAATTAAAATGTATTAAGATACAGCAAAAAAAGTATCCATCTTCAATTTTTAATTTGGATAAGTGTTCCTTGCAGTTAGATATGTATGAAATATTTATCACTGGATATTAAAGAAACTCCAGAATTTGAAAAAAATTAAACATTAAAATAAAAATTTTAAAGGTATGTTAGTCCAAGTAACTTGTACAAGATAAACATTGTTTAACAACCTATCAAAGAAGATCAGTCTTAAGATAATTTACCCATTGAGGAATTATGTCTGTTCATTCTCTTCTTCTGCTTGTTGCTGCAGTCAGTCTTCAAAATGTTGATATATTTATTCTTATTCACCATAGAATTGGTTATGAAAAATACTTATTTTCGAAAATCTGCTCTTGTAAAATTATGATTCCTACTCTGGTTTTTCAGACTTAAAGATTTACTTTTATAATTATGTAGTACAGGTATTGCAGATTGGTCGCGAAAACAAAAAAAATCTCAAAATTAGGCTGTCAGTACATTTGGGGGGAAATTTTCATTAAAACATTAAGTACATTGAAATAAGAAAGGCATTAATTTAATCATCAAAATACTTGTTTGGTAAAAGTATGTAGTATTATATTGTTAATTTGTTGAGCATAGACTAAATATACATGTACTAGTTCTTCTAAGTTGTACCTTCAAGTCTATGTGTTCATTTCAAAAAGACAATTGGTAAATTATGTATTTTCCAAATTGAAGAATTGTATGACTATAATAATGTGTTCTGTATATTATAGCCCATTGTATTCATTATATGCTGAGAGTCTTTCAAGCATAATGTTGTCTACACACAGAGCTAGAGAGGTCATTGATGTGTTCTCCAAAGATTTTTTTATAGAATTGATAAAAAAAAAATCATGCAGTGAAAAAGATGAATATATTGAACAAACTTTTTATATTAAAAAAAAGCACTCAGATAATTAAAATAATATATAACTATTAATTAATCCAGGATTATCAATATTGGAATATGGAATAATTGAAGTGTGTGTACTTTTTGTTTACATTTAAAAAAATCTTTCTTTAGCATTAAAACACTTAAACCTGGAAATTTTAAATAAATAAAGGGCCGATCTTTATTGAGAATCTGCATTTGTAGATGGTAATTTTTTTTTTGAGTCTCCTAAAGAAATGTAAGATTCTTAGATTAGAATGTGTACTGAATCCTATAAAAATGTTCACACGAAAAGCATTTCCCTCTAGCAGTACAGTCCAGTCCCTTGTAAGTCATGTGGCAAAAATTTTGACTCTATAAAATGTCAAAATAATAATCTGAAAATTTAAGTGATTTTTGTCAATGTTTTCTAGTTGAATTTTTTCAATAGTACAAAATTGGATGGCTACTCCTAAGTTAATGTTGAGATTAAACTTTATCAAAATAATGTAATGTATAATGTTTTTACATTCCCCTACCCTTTTCAAATACTTTACAATTTTTTAAATACCACTTGGTAAAATGTTAGTTAGATTGACCCATGCAAATAAAAGTGGTTGATACATATAGAGTTTTGTAGTAACATAATTGGGAAATATATTTAAACAGGGACAGACCCTAATATAGTAAAGAGAAAATAAAATGGCTTCTAGTAATGTCTTCTTTGGATATGATTTGCTTACATGGTTGTATTTTATTGGCTATATGACCCTTAAAATTCCCAGCATTCTTTTCCAATACAATGACAGGTTTCGTTCGTACCATTTTCTGAGGGAAAAAATAATAACATGACAATATATAACAAACTTTAATGAATTGTATAAATATTTTTTTATATAATATGTTTAATATAAGGATTTCATCTTATATTACATGTAATTAACATATTTATTAATAACTTACAGCTAAAAGATTAATATTATGAAGCTTGCTGTAATTTACATTAATAAAAATGTTTTTCTTTTTAAAGTAATATTGATAAGTACACCAAATATCAGACTTGGCAGATAAATATGGCATTCAAATATACGCTTATATTTCTGAAGATACCCCTGCATAACGAAGTGGGGTTATATTTAAGATTGAAACTTCTTTGATATAAAATGGAAGTTTTTATATGAATTTGTTTAATGTTCTTAACTGAAGTGTTTCTTAAATAAAGGTATGCTATTAGAAAAAAAAGTATATTAATTTTTTGTATAATAAACTTTTTATAACACTGAAAGAAGAATGTTTATGTTTCATTATTACAAGTATATACTATTTTGGTCAGGAAGACCATACAATAATGTTTTCAAGGTTTATCAAGAAGCTATAACTTGTAAATATACTTGTAATATCATGTGTAAGTTTAATATTCTGAGATATGTATTAACAAATAATTCAGTTCTACAATAAGTTAAAAAAAAAAGAAGATTTTTTTGTGTTTCTGAATTTTTTCGAAGCCTTTAAAGATGTTTTATTCTTTGAAGCCTTTTCCTATGTCTTCTGTGTCAAATTATCTATTCTGGCAGGAAAATTAGCAATTATTATTCTTTTCATTTAGACCATGTAAAGAGAAAAAAAAATATGTGTAAAGTAAAGTATATAAACATGTTATATTTTCAAGCAGTTAGTTTAAAGTTTCAAATTTCTGATAATCTTGTATTTATTCTTTAGATTGCTGTTTCTGTATATATAGATACACGATTTTCCATTTCTACATTTGAATTTACTTTAGAATGAGATTTAAACATGAAAATATATTCCTTCTCTGATTTTCTTCGTTGTTGATATTTTCCCTCCAATTTCTAGTGATTAAGAAATAATCATATTTGCAGATTTCTATAGTGAGCTCTTTGTAAACAATTGTTCTCTTAGAAGAACTTAAATTTTACTCGTATCTTATTTTGTAAGAAATATCTGTTTGTAGTCTTTCTTTTTTATAAACAGTGTCTAATAATCCACATGCAGATATTTACCTACAACCTTCTCATTTTAAATTGTAAAGATGTTTTGGGAATGAATGAGTTGTCTTAATCTGCCCTTATGGAAATGAATTTCCCAGTACAACTTATGTATTAGTGTTTTCAGTATTGTATTTCCATGTAGAATTATGCTAATGAATTTTAAAATATTTAATTCAACTTTTATTGGGCATAACTTTCAAAAGTATGTTTGAAATTTAAAAAAAAAAAGTATTTCTTAAAATTGTTTCATAAATGTATTCCAAATCTATAAATGTAAAATGTAGTTTCTGTTGCTTTATTACAAAGACTTTTTCTGAATAAAAAAATTCTTGTTATTTGCTTCTTTGTTTAATTTTTGGTGTGTAGA